TCCATCTTTCCCAACATCAATGTCTTTTCCAGGGAGTCTTCTCTTCTCATGAGGTGGTCAAAGTATTGGAGCCTCAGCTTCAGGATCTGTCCTCCCAGACAGGGCTGATTTCCTTCCAAATGGATAGGTTTAATCTTCTTGCAGTCCATGGGACTCTCAAGAGTCTCCTCCAGCACCAGAATTCAAAAACATCCATTCTTGGGCGATCAGCCTTCTTTATGGTCCAGCTCTCACTTCCATACATCACTACTGGGAAAACCATGGCTTTAACTATACGGACCTTTGTTGGCAAGGTGATGTCTCTGCTTTTTAAGATGCTGTCTAGGTTTGTCATTGCTTTTCTCCCAAGAAGCAGGCGTCTTTTAATTTCGTGGCTGCTTAGGAGATCACAATGGGGCAGGAGGGAAGAGGCAACCTCGTGTGGGGCTTCGGCTGATAAGGGATTTGGGATATAGGTCAAAATCTGCACCCTGAATTGTGCAGGCAGAGCAGAGGGGCAAGGTGCCTGGCCTTTGACTCCGACAGAGGCTAGTCTGCATCACATCCTCAACAGGGAAGCGAATCAGCTGGAGCTCCTGGTCAGCCATCAAGGGCAGGCCAAGGCAGATTGCAACAGTAGTCAAGCCTCAAGGCATAAATATGCTTTATCCTCAGGTTGAGAGGTCGTCTCGTAGCCTGGGGGTTGCATCTGTCTTCGGAGACCTTCAGCTGCAGAGCAAACACAGATCTGCGGATCTGTAAGGAGCAAATATAAAACACTTGCGCTGGGAGACCACAGCGGTGGTGAAAGCAGGAGAAACTTTGGCTGCCTCTCGCTTTGCAGCTGCTGCCGACACCTGTTCCCTGCAAGTTGGAAGTATTAAAGGGAGAGGGAAGCTAAATATTGATGGGACCAATGAGGCAAATCAAACATAACATGTCTTCAGTCCTCTTCCTTCTTGCTGGGTTGCAGAATTCACCCATTTGGAAAAGCGAGGCTGTACAGTATTGACTAGCAGTGCAGCCCTCGCTTTCCAGTTCAATAGGTAGACCTGGAAACTCTACTCACGCCCTCCCTACCCCCCCTTATCTCTTTTTCCATAGGGAAGGCGGCCTTGAGAGGCTGCGGATCCCTGACCTTCTCCCAGCAGCCTGCGGTGTTTTCATTAAGAAGGTGTTGCTGGAATGACGTTTTGACTGCCCGGCTCCATTGAATAAAGAGCCCTTTCTGGTCAAGGTTCCTTGGAAACTGTTAAAAACAGCTCGAGGAAGGAAGGGGGAGAAAGATTGGTCTGTTGGGGAGGGATGAGGCAGGAGGCAAAGGAGGATTCAGCCCATCTCCAAGCTGAGGGAAGCCTCTTTTTATTGGCTAGCAGTGGTTGCTGATCGTGACTCTGTTTTTCTCAGCTCCCTGTGTACAGGTGGCCCCACTGGGCTGGGTCTGCCTTGATTTGACTGTTTGCCTCCTGCCCATCCTCTTTGTGACAACTTCACTCTATGTGGGTTTGTTTGTTTTTAATTCACAACAACCTGGTTAGGCTGAAAGACAGAATCTATTCCACGGCCGCATGGGGATTGGAGCAACCCAAGGCTTTCTCTACTGATTCCCAACTTTTTTTTCTAATTTTTATTTTTATGGACAGAGGTGTTTTGTGTGTGTGTGTTTTGAGCTAGTTTATCATAGTAGCCAGCAGGTGCTTGCCTGAGCTATGGACCAGGAAGGCTTGGACACACTAGGTAATTTTGGAAAGGCAGCCATTCTCTTGCCATTCCATCTCCAGTGTTGTGGGCATTAACTTTATAACACCGGACTAGAGCCTAGGGCTTGCCGATCAGAAGGTCGGTGGTTCAAATCCCTGCCACGGGGTGAGCTCCTGTTGCTTGGTCCCAACTCTTGCCAACCTAGCAGTTCGAAAGCACGCCAGTGCAAGTAGATAAATAGGTACCACTCTGGCAGGAAGGTAAACTGCGTTTCCATGCGCTGCTCTGGTTCGCCAGAAGCGGCTTAGTCATGCTGGCCACATGACCCGGAGGCTGTACGCCGGCTCCCTCGGCCAGTAAAGCGAGATGAGCGCCGCAACCCCAGAGTTGGCCATGACTAGACCTAATGGTCAGGGGTCCCTTTACCTTTACCTTGCAGGGCTGGTGTTAGGTAATGATTGTGAAGCGCTCTGGACACTTGGAAGGCCCTCTGTCAACGCTCCTTGCCGTGATTATCATTGCCTTTTTATTGCTGTGCACATAGGGGTGGGGGGAGGCAGCTGCCCACCCTCCCATCAAATAAATAAATAAAAATACTTAACTAAAAGTAAAAAAGATTTTGACAGGTTTTTCTGAGCACTTGGGGTCAAAAGATAGTAATTTAAAACAACTGTTGTTGAGACATTTCATTCCGAATCAGCCAGACAAAGAATGATGACAGGTTGGGTGTCCGGCCCCTGCCCCCAAACATATACAGTGATACCTCGGGTTACATATGCTTCAGGTTACAGGCTCTGCTAACCCAGAAATAATGCCTCAGGTTAAGAACTTTGCTTCAGGATGAGAACAGAAATTGTGCTCCGGCGGCACGGCAGCAGCAGGAGGCCCCATTAGCTAAAGTGGTGCTTCAGGTTAAGAACAGTTTCAGGTTAAGAACGGACCTCCGGAACGAATTAAGTTCTTAACCCGAGGCACCACTGTATCCTGGCTACGCCCATAGCTGTGCAGCTGGCAAAAATCCAGATATTCTGACATGCAGATGACAGTGATAGGAACAGCTTCAGGGGATGAATGCCAACCCTCCCACCCCAAACAAAGCATTGGCAGTCTCCCCACCAAATCCTGGTCTCTGGTAGGGGAACACCATAGCGCTGAGTTAAATGGACCAAAGCGCTTGACTCACAGCTTCCAAGGTTCCCATGATCTGAACAAGAGGAAGCGTAGCAAGAACTCACCACGCAGGGTTTCCCAAACTCCCCAGCTGCTGTTGGACTACAACTCCCATCATCCCTGACCGCTGGTCCTGTTAGGGATGATGGGAGTTGTATTCCAACAACAGCTGGAGACCCACGTTTTGGAAACCCTGCACCTTCTTCTTCTTCTTCTTTGGCGATCACTCCTAGCCTAGTAAGATTGTCTTCTATAAACACGGTTTTAACAATGAGTCCGTAAGTGACTGTGGAGGCCAATTCTGGATCCACACGTCCTTCCACAGTGGGGACATTGGTTTCTGGCCTGGAGCTGATCACCGTGTGGATTTGCCTTCCTCTTAGCACGTTTCTCCCTTGCGTCCTGAGTTCGAGTGTCTTCAAAACCCATGACACCTTTGGTAAAGGCTGTTCTCCTATGGAGCACTCACAGGCCAGTGTTTCCCAGTTGTCAGTGTTTATACTACATTTTTTTACATTTGCCTTGAGACAAACTTTAAACCTCTTTTGCTGACCACCAGCATTACGCTTTCCGTTTTTAAGTTCCGAATAGGGTCCGCTGGCACGTGTTCCCCGCTCCCTCCCTCCAGCTATCCCCCCCCAATCTTGCGCCCCTCTAAGAGGCACCCGGCAGGCAGGCAGAAACCCGTCCGGTGCTGCCGCTTCTCCCGGCCGCTCCGGTTGCCAAGCTCTGCCCGACGCAGCCCTGCAGAACCTCCCACGGCGGTGCCAACCCGGACAGAGGGAGAAGGGCGCGCGTGGTTGCGCGTTTCCATCCTCCTCCTCCTGCCAGCCGGGGGTGATTTCTAGGGGATCCTTTTTCCAGCCCGGCTGGAAGGAGGCGGGTGGCCTGGGACGACGCCCCGCAGCTCCCTGCCTCCTCTAGCCGGGCAGGGCCGGATCAGCCGGCACAGAAGGTCCCTTTTTCCCCTCCTGCAGCCCCGGCGGTGTTGTTTTTTCCAGGAATGTGCGGAATCGCGCTGCGTCCGGCCCAGCCGGCGGACGCACGCACCCGCGCGCACACTGGCTCCATTCAGGCCGCCAGCCGGGAAAGGGAGCAGCCCCACCGCGGGCCTGGCTGGCACCCCTGGGCCAGCCCATCCCCGCCCCTGGAAGTGGCACTGCCGCGGGGGCCTGGAAGGCAGAAGGAGAGAGGAAGGGATTTGGGATGGGTGGCTAAGCGCGTCGGAGGAGGGAAGAGCGCGCGCGCGCTTGGCACTTGCGAGGTTTTGCGCTTTAGGGAGCGTTCACACGCGCACCTACGATTCTTACAACAGGCCTGCAAGGTAGGCAGGCGTTGTGAACGCATGTTAGGGGAAGAAACCCCCTGCAAGTAGAAAGCTAGCGTTAAAAAGAGAGCAGGCAGAGGTCAGGCCCTCTCTTCCTGGGATGCTAGTTCCCCCCCCCCCGTGTTTTGGGGCCTGGGGGAGCATTAAAAACAGTGTCCCCTACCTACAGGGTGCAGTTTGTTTTGCTGCCACCTGGACGTTCAACCGCCTGTGTAGATCAGGGCTGAGGCCTGGGATGGTTGCAGAAGTAAGAGTGTTTCTGAGCATGGGGAAAAAATAATTTCCCCTCCCGTCTCCACTGAGCAGCAGCACAGGTCGGCCCATGTGTCTCTGAGGTTATGCGGAGATTAAAGGGTCTGGCCGCTGAGGAAATACTGAACCCCGATGCTTCTCTCTTTAGAAACTCTGTGTGCATTGATGTGTTAAAATAAGGCCGGCTAAGCCATTCTTTTCCTCAATTCGGAGAAACGCAGTATTTTGTAAGAAATGACAGGATGGATACAGGATACATACGGACTACTGATAAAGTTTCGCAGACACCGTTTCCCAAACTGGCGGAGGGAAACAGGAGTGTGTGTACACAAGCCGAAAACTTGGATAAGTAATAGATTTGAATGCGCATGGCTGGAGGCTGTTTTCCAGTGTCAAAACCTATTCCTTGGGTGTGTGGTGTGGATAGGACACGGACACCGGCCTTTGCCAACCTGATAGCAGTTGTTTTGGACTACAACTCCCATCAGTCCTGCACTGAAGTTATAGAATCATAGAACTGTAGAGTTCATAAGGTCATCCAGTCCATTCCTGCAATACAGGAATCTTTATTTGCCCAGCATGGGCCTCGAACCCACAACCCTGAGATTAAGAGGCTCGCACTGTACCGACTGAGCGATCCAAAACATCTGGAGGGCCTTTCCTTTACCTCATCCAATCCTCGCATTTGGGGGAAAGTTCTTTTGGCCCATGCGGGGGAAATTCTCATTTTGGGATTTAAGGAGACTGGATGAAGAGAGCGAATTAGAAAGCGGGGAACAGAAGAGAAAGCATCGCACCAATGTCTTACTGGATTTACGTTGGGCGGAAAGTATTTGCGAAACGAGGGCAGGGAGAAAGAAAATAAGAGGCGTAAAGAGAATTATGTGGTGCTGTCCAGGTAGAACTCTAGGGCAGAAGTCAAGGGCCTCTATCTGCAGTCCAGAATGTGCAGGAGTAGCCCCAAATGCTGCAAAGTTTTGAAGTGGGTGAGGTAATCCACTTTATCATCTAAAGAGTAGGGAAGTCATAAGACCATTGGGTCCAAAGGGTGAAGTTACCTAACTGCTGCTGCTGACCCTCTCGCTAGCCAACCCAGTGGTGTTACAAACTTTGTTGCTTCGAGACAATCCTTTCCACATTGACTTATCTGCCGGGGAACCTTGAGTTAGGGAAAGGGATATAGCTGGGTGTGGGGGTGTAGGCCATCTGCTTTGAGTGCAGAAGGAGCTAGGTTCGCTGCTCTGCATTTCCAGGCAGAACCCTGGCAGAAATCCTGGACGGCTGAGTTGCTGCCAGTCCATGTAGATAATAATAATAATAATAATAATAATAATAATAATAAATGTATACCCCGTCCATCTGGCAGGGTTTCCCCAGCCACTATTGGTGGCTCCAAACAGAAAATTAAAAGCACAATAAAATGCCAAACTTTCCTAAACAGGGCTGCCTTCAGATGTTTTCTAAAAGTCAGATAGTTGCTTATCTCCTTGACATCTGATTGGAGGGCATTCCACGGGGTTGGTGCCACCACCAAGAAGGCCCTCTGCCTGGTTCCTTGCAACCTCACTTCTCGCAGTGAGGGAACCACCAATTGTGACCTTAGGCTTTTAAAAAAGAGACTTCTGCTCGAGTACATTATGCACATAATAATAATAATAATAATAATAATAATAATAATATATTATTTATACCCCCATCCATCTGGCTGGGTTTCCCCAGCCACTTTAGGCAGCTCCCAACCAAATATTAAAAATACAATACAGCATTAAACATTAAAAACTTCCCTAAAAGTGTCTTCTAAAAGTCAGATAGTTGTTTATTTCCTTGACATCTGACGGGAGGGTGTTCTACAGGGCGGGTGCCACCACCAAGAAGGCCCTCTGCCTGGTTTGCTGCAACCTCACTTCTCGCAGTGAGGGAACAGCCAGAAGGCCCTCAGAGCTGGACCTCAGTGTCCGGGCAGAACGATGGGGGTGGAGACGCTCCTTCAGGTATACTGGGCCTTTGAGGCCTTTGAGGGCTTTCAAGGTCAGCACCAACACTTTGAATTGTGCTTGGAAACGTAGTGGGAGCCAATGTAGGTCTTTCAGGACCGGTGTTCTATGGTCTCGGCGGCCGCCCTCAGTCACCAGTCTAGCTGCCTCATTCTGGATTAGTTGCAGTTTCCGGGTCACTTTCAAAGGTAACCCCCCTTACTAGATAGACCAGTGCTTACTGGAGTAAGGTCTCATTCACACTGCTACTTGTCCTGTGCCTAGAAAGCAGGGGGTCGAGTAGTTTTCTGTTTTCTCCTGCTGCTTTCCCTGGGAAAAACCTGCTCTTTAGCGCTGAATGGGACAAACGTCAATCCATGGGAAAGCGGTAAAGATCAGATTTCTCCAGGTTAAAGCAGTGGAACAAGCAGAAGTCCGTACGAGCCCTGTGGCTTCTTATAGTCTTATATTCCTGAGAGTGCCAAGGTAAGGAACACCTGCATTTGGGATCGATGTCTTCTGGGACGCAGCCTCAACAAATGAACGCTTAACTCCGGCCCCACAAGAATGTGCAGTTTGCTGCTTCTCTGTCTCCCCAGATTGCAGGGGAAGCTGTTTCTCAAGAACTCTGCTTTGGTGAGAGACCCGCCCCCAAGCTTCTGAGGACCTCTGGTGTCCTTTAGGCTAGATTTATAAACCGCTGACTGATGGAGAGGGATTTGATAGTACGCATTGCTGTGCGGAATGCCCCGAACAGATGTTGTGGATGGCAAGTGCATTCCAAAAGGCGTGGAGAATTTGGGTGGGACCCTGAATTTCTGGACTGCAGCGTTCCAGAGAAAAGGGTTAGTTTTCCATCCCCTCTTTCGGTGGGGCCTTCCTAGCTGGCCGGATTGATGAGAGGGGATGAAACAACCCTGTAGCCTTCCTGCAAAAAAATATTTTAACAGTGATTTTCGTCATGTCCCGGGCGAATTTGGAATTTTAGTGACCTGGGTCCTGCTGGGAGAGAAGCGGACTGGGGTTTGCAAAACGTGCATGCTTAGGACACGTCCCCTTGTGGTGTGTGCTTGGCCACGTGGCTCTTGTATGACCCTGGTGCCTGGGTATTGGGGCTTTGGCTGGTTAATGATTAATATGCACTGCAAGGGCAGCAGGAGGTGGGATTTGAAGGCCTGGATTCTTCCCCCACCACCACGCCAGAGGATAAGTGTGGGCACTGTATTTGAGGAGTAAACAAACCCAGGGGTCATGGACCACTGTGGGTGAGTGGCAGCGGTGGAGGATAAAGGTTGGGGCAGTAGCCTGCAGGGAGCTGTATTCCCTCTGCCACTTCCCCTCCCGAAATCCTGCTCCTCTTCATCAGAATTTGTGAGGAATCTCAGGTACTCCTAAATGTGTCGCACTTCTAGGTTTTTAAGACTGAATCACCATTCCACTCTTGAATTCTAAAGTTAGGCCTCTTATGTTCAGCTCGCCTGCAGATTTCAGGATGTTAGGTAAAGGTAAAGGGACCCCTGACCATTAGGTCCAGTCGTAGACGACTCGGGTTGCGGCGCTCATCTCACTTTACTGGCCAAGGAAGCCGGCATACAGCTTCCGGGTCATGTGGCCAGCATGACTAAGCCGCTTCTGGCGAACCAGAGCAGCACACGGAAACGCTGTTTACCTTCCCGCTGGAGTGGTACCTATTTATCTACTTGCACTTCGTACTTTCAAACTGCTAGGTTGGCAGAAGCAGGGACCGAGCAACGGGAGCTCACCCCGTCGCGGGGATTCGAACCGCCAACCTTCTGATCGGCAAGCCCTAGGCTCTGGTTTAACCCACAGCGCCACCCGCATCACATTCAAGACCCGCAAAGTTTAATCTCCCCTTTCACAAGAACTGGAGGTGCAAAGGAGCTCTGATCCCACCTAGCAAAACCAAGGGCTTATGTAAATGTGTGCACAGAGGAGCAGACCTGTGTTGCAAAGAGCTTTCCTTTTGTCTAGCAAATTCCGATCTCCTTGGTTGCGGATGGCATTGCTTAGCGCACATCAAAGAAGGGGACACTTTCCAGAAATGGAGGAAAGCCTGGGGGCAGGGGTGTTGTTTCGGATCCAAGGACTGGCAGTGGAGGCAGTAAAGTTTAATAGCCTACTCTCTTGCAAAAGGCTTGCATTTTATGGTTACTTATTGTGGGTTTTGTATTCCTCAATATATCTGTAGTAATATCAACAATCACTCTTATTTTAAGCAAAGGGGTTTGTCCCTTCAGCATCCCTACGGAGTACACAGGCCCACTGGAATTATTTATTCAAAAAAAAAAGCACCGTCTAGCAACCTTCCTCAATCTAATGCCCTCCAGATGTTTTGGACTACAACTCCCATCAGCTCCAGTGGAAAAATAAAATGGAAGGAACAAGGCACCATTGTGATTCCATCTTAGGCCCCTTAGTTCCCCCTTCGTTTTTCTGGAAAGTCAAATAAGAAGCCTGAGCCGTGAGAGATAGGCTGTTTGACCAAGGAAGGACCTTCATGTCCCACTTTCTGCTCTTCCCTTTCCCCATCTTGGCTTGAAGCCTCCTTAATTTGCGGCCTTAACGTTTCTGGGGCGGTGTTTTTGCCCTTGTGGAGAGAGGCAAGGCCTCTGTGGTCGCTAACAACTGCTACAGGCGATCTCCCCGCCATTTTGAATCTTGTGGAGCGCTTCGTGAAAGAAGGGCCGAATCCAGCCCCCTGTGGTGGGAAAACAGTAACGGCAGGGAGATAAAAAAAAACACACACACCAAAAGTGTACCATAACATTTTATTGACCCAGTGTGTTTCAGATTAAAATTCTACAGAGGCGCTTAAAGGAGCACAATGCTCTAGAGCACTCGGCTTTCAAAGCGCCCCTGAAGAAGAATATATTTCAGCACATGTTGGACCAAAAAAACCCCCACACTTTTGTGATTTCATCTCCTGCCATTTGTTCCTCTCAAACTGCCGAAATAGGCTTGTGTATGAACAGCTAGGGTGGCAGTGGGGCCTGGCAAGTTGTGTTGTTGGCCGGCCACTTCAAAATGGCTTCCCTTTTGCTATGGGCAGGGGCTGCTAGGCCGAAGCAAAGGCCCGGCTTCCTTTGAGTTAATGACATGGTTGGCTTGTGCCGGCTGAGGCAAATATTCCCCAGACAGATGTCAATCTTGCCCATCAGTTGGTTCTTTTAAGGAAAGCGACCCATCTCTATGGCACTCCCTCCCATTAGGAACCAGATGGGCACCATCTCTGCCAAGTTTCAGGTGCCAGGCTAAAAACATCTGGATTTCAGGAGCCCTTTGTAACCGTAAATGAGTGTTTCAGTCCGTTTTAAGTTTTGTATCTTGCATATTTTATTTTTTTTGTAAGCTGCTTTGAGACCCAGATGTGCTGAAAAGTGGGGTAGAACTTTTGATAAATACCGTATTTTTCGCTCCATAAGACACACTTTTTCCCTCCTAAAAAGTAAGGGGAAATGTGAGCGCGTCTTATGGAGCGAATGGTGCTGTGCAGAGAGGGAGAGCTGCGCAGTACCCTTTCAGCAAAGCGCCTCTCCTTAGCCGCTGCAGCCTCTTCAGGCAGGGGGAGCCTTCATCCCGCTGCCCTGAAGAGGCTTTGCGCGGCTATCCCAGAAGCCAGAACAGCGAGAGGCTATCCCAGAAGCCAGATCCCTCTTGCTGTTCTGGCTTCTGGGACTCAGAATATATTTTTTTCTTGATTTCCTCCTCCAAAAACTAGGTGCGCCTTATGGTCTGGTGTGTCTTATGGAGCAAAAAATACGGTAAATGCCTAAGGTCCTGTTGATGGGCCAGATTTAGGGTTGGCCATACTGTATGTCCTCTTTTTTTCCAGGACATGCGTACCGTTTGATGGTTGGGTTTCAGTAGTTGCCCTGCGAATCTAGGAAGCTGAACGGGCTTAGAGGGGAGAAGTATAAAAACGACGGTGCGGATTTCGCCTTGCATTAAACTCAGGAGGTGGAACCTGTTGTGCCATTCGGCTGACCTATTTAATCAGACTCTATACTGCTACATCTAAGAACAGTAAGAGCCGTTCGACCCCGGAATGGTCTCTCTTGGGAGCTTGTGATCACTCCTCCCTCAGAGGTTTTTAAGCAGAGGTTGGACGGCCATCTGTCCTGGATGCTTTAGCTGAGATTCCTTCATTGCAGGGGGGGTTGGACTAGATGACCCCCGGGTGTCCCTTGCAGTTCTATGATCTAGCCCTGTTCGCACAAGCGTGTGGTTTCCTTGGCACTTTGAAGTAAGCTGTGTCTCTTTGCAGGCGTTCAAAGGATGAGAAAGGACTACAAAGGGAGATAACGATACGGAGATACAAGCCAAGGTTTATTGGTAGTGATACCGATTCAATCCAAAATAAAATAGGTAAGTTCCATTTTCAGCAATGTAACTTCACTGTGCCTATTTCCCCCCCCCCCCCAAATTTCTTCTGGGTTACGCTCTTATTTTTGTTTTGTTAATTGTACACTGTGATTGGGCTGCCTTTTCCGATTCGTCATTGGAAGGGTGGCAGAGATCTGATTGACATAGCTTTCAAGTGTCCCTTATTTGGCGGGACAGTCCCTTATCCCAGCGCCATGTCCCGCTGCTGTCCCTTATTGATGATGTCCCTTAAATAAGCTACTGAAGGTAATAGGGCCCTTTCTATGTCCAGCTGTGCTTTGTCAACAACAAATTGTTGCTGTTTTTTGTGTGTTGAATATATGCTATAGGGTAATTTATGGACCTAATAGGTATCTAAAGCCATTTGCACGCAACAAAATATGTATTTTATCAAAGTAATTGTTGATCCCTTATTTTGGCTGCTGATCCCTTATTTTCGAGGCTGCTGGTCCCTTATTTTCAAATTTGTAAGTTGACAGCTATGCTGATTGAGTATCTGGGCACGATAGTGGCAGGTTTTATTTTTTAAGTTTACACCCGCTATTTCTGCTCTGCAGAGGTTGTTGTACTGCAGAAGGGTTTGTAGCTCAATGGTACAGCATTGGCATTGCATGCAAAAAAAGGGCCAGATTCAACCCCTGGGATGTCCCCGTGGGGCTGTGGGAGAAGCCTGTCCCAAATCTTGAAGAAGTGCTGTCAGTCTGTGGTGTTAGGCGAACAGTGAGCTGGGCCTGACGTAGGCAGCTTCACTCATTCCCACCCTCAGCCCTGGAAGATCGGGGGAAGTATGTGTTAAAAATAAATAAATATTTTCGAGGTCTTAAGTACCGGGAGCCAGGAGTCTTTTGTCGCTTGTGCCACCAGATCAGAGTTATAAATTCCTTGCTAGCGGTGGGATGGCGTTTGGGGGAGGGGAAACCCTGAATACCGTTTTGTTTTAATTATCATTAATACCGAAAAGAAAAGGACACTTGAAACAAACACCGCCTTGAATTGTCTCTAAAGTATGATATATTAAATCAGCTCTTACCCTTTTTCCCAACAGAAAGCACAAATATTTAAATATATAAAGCCACTTTTTCTTTTCTTTTAAAAAAAGAAGAAGATAGATGTGAACTATATTTTCCCTGCTCCTCTTCAGGCTGAGGCCTAAATTGTCTTTGGGGTAGCCAAACCCGTGTGTGTGTGTGTGTGTGTGTGTGTGTGTGTAACAATGGAGTCCTGCCACGTATCATTCTGACCTAAACGGGTGGGTTTGAGAATCTCAAGACAAGAGTTCAACCGTTGACTGTAACATCTGCGTTGAGACAGGAAAGTCCAAATGTTCTGGGCCAAGGGGTGGTTCCCCAGCTTGCAAATTTCCATTTCTCTGCCCCTTTTCATGTATTCCTCCTGGACACCCATCCAAGCACCACTCCTGGAGATATATCAAGCATCTTTAGTCACCGTAAAATTCAGAGTGGGGTCCACCATTTTGAGGTGGTGGGGATCTGCCATGGGTGTGAACCTATGCTGAAGTTTAGATGACTCCATCCATGGCCTTTATCACCCAACTGGCCATTGGTTGGTGGCCCAAAGGTGCGTGAGCTTGTTCTTCCTTGCTTTTCCCTGGTCATGATGGGCAAGTGAGTCCATTGACACGGAAGGCCGCCAAAGGAGCTCTTGACCGCTATGAGGCAATTTCGGTTTTGAGGTCTGGAAAGCGTAATGATTCGTCAGAGAGTCTAGTAGGCCAAGTCTCTGGTTGCTTTCCCACGGGCCATGATGGGATTGGATGGCGGTGGGATAGAACATCTCGTGGGTGGTCTTGCTGGTGATGGCGGCACGAGGCAGAGCTTCTCTTGTTCCTTTGGCCCCCTGCTATCTCACAACGACAACCTTACGAGGCGTTGAGCAAGGAGCGGCTGTACAGGCTCTGATAATAGGAGCCGGTCTCGCTGAGCGAAGTGGATGCCTCATAGGGGTGTTTGCTTTCCACCGCGTGTGGGGAGCTGTAGCCGCTGTAGGCCATGGCTTGCTCGTAGGACTTCAGGTCAATCTTGTGGTTCTGCTCCGTGGACATCAAGTTGGTGATGGAAAAGGGATGGTTGAAGTTGAACTGAGGGTCCATTTTGAGGTCGCTCGGGAGATCCAGGTTGGTAATTGAGGTGGCAAAGTAGTGGCTATTCATGGACTGGGAGATGGGGGCTGGCGAGGCCTCGGAAACTGGGGATGAGCCCTGACCCCCAGAACAATCGAGTTGCACCAAACCCCTTTGCTCCTCGGAGCCATGGGAGGTGTCTGAGTGGCCTGACTCTGCTCCTTCCGAGCCCGTGTTGGGACTCTGGCCTTCCTGAAGACCCTCAGGAATCTTGGGCGCCTGCTCTTGGGTGTTGGAGCCTTTGGAGTTGGGCTTCTTGGCCTTGTCCTCGATTTTGAAACGCTTCTGCCTCCTCAGGTAACAGCCGTTCTCAAACATGTTGCCCGAATTTGGGTGGAGGGCCCAGTAGGAGCCTTTGCCGGGCTTGTCCGGGGAACGGGCCACCTTGACGAAGCAGTCGTTGAAGGAGAGGGAGTGGCGGATGGAGTTCTGCCAGCGCTGCTGGTTTTCGCGGTAGTAGGGGAAGAGGTCCATGATCCACTGGTAGATCTCGTTGAGGGTCAGCATCTTGCTCGGGGCTTGCTGAATCGCCATGGTGATGAGGGAGATGTAGGAATAAGGCGGCTTAGCGTGGGTCAGCGTGCGCCGGTACGACTTGTTGATCTCCTTGGGCCTGTTCATGCCTGACGGCGAGTAGCTTAGCGGGGCCATGGACTGGCCGACATTTTGGTAAGGTGACAGAGAGTTGAGTGTGGGGGCCTGAGCTCCCAGCTGAGTCAAAACTGGGCTGACGGGAGACGCCACCGACGGGAGGCCCATCGAACTGGTGGCGTTGGTCAGTCCAGTGAGAGAAGGGCTACTCAATCCACTGTTTGGATAAGGCATGTTCATGGAGCTGGGGGAAGTGAGGGGGTTCAGCGTCACATAGGAATTAATCGAGTTCATAGGCCCCAAGCTGGACGTCATCGTGCTCACCGAAGGAAACACCTGTGGAAGACAAAAGGAGATGGTTACAGGAGAGTCGGAACATTCCCCAGGGAGACAAATGACAAAGAAATGGTCCAACATTTGAAGCTTTCGATAGTTACACAGCAGGCAGAAATCAAGAGGTGGAGCTTTTCCTGCCACTGAAGCACAGTAAAAGCAGACAGCTGCACCTGTTGAATTTGTCTTCTGCCTCAGATGAAAAGGTGTTGATGACGGAACAACCGCTTGCCCAAAGAATGGAGGGAAAAGACCATTTTATGGTATAAAAGGAAGAGAGTCCATTTGCACCACTGACACAAATTATAAGAGAAAGGGGGACATTTCCTCACATACACGAAGGGAGGGATTGCAGCCTCTCCCTTTTCTTGTTCTACTAGGGAAAAAAGATACAGATGGGCCACAAATAGAAGGAAGATCCGCCACCAGGCTTGTCACTGAAATTTTGCAGAAAGGAAAATATGAGGCGCACTTGAGAGTTCCCAGGTGAAACATCCCTGGTTAGTAGCATCTCACAGGGTACAGAGAGTAGAAAATGTCCTCTCAGAAAGTTTGGGCTGCCATTGCTGAAGCTTTCCTCCATTTCAGACGAGGTGGGCTGGTGGTCCATAAGCCCAGTCATTTCCTCTTGGGGCACCATCTTTGTTTACCAGTCCTTTATTTGCTCAAAGCCACTGAACCAGATGCTTCAAGGCAGCGAAGCAGCGCCTGCTATTTACATAAGATAGGGACTTAATTGGCAAAACTATTGATCCTCGAGGATAAGTGAGGAACTGCTGCCAAGGGATGGGCGATACCAAGCAATACAGTTTGGTGCCACAGTCTTCACTGGCCATATGCCTGTCGTCTGTTGCTGTGGGTGACGGGGGCCATAAAATTTGCTCACGGAGCCTGTTCTGAAGGCCTTGAAAGGCAGCAGGAAGACATCAGTGGACCTGAACGGGTTTTTGTTTAAGAAAGGAGGCCTGCCTGAAAAGCTAGAGTATTGGGTTTGGCTGGTAGGAAACCCAGATTTAAATCCCAGTTGAACCAAGAATTTCACTGAGACGAGAAGGGAAGGACCACTGCTCATTTGTTATTTAAGAATCCAAAGGGGACTCTTGGTCTATCAGTGCCAACCTTTGAGAAGCAGCAGAGAAGAGAATCCTTCTTAAAAACAAAAATCCAGTCTCCTTTATAGCAATGGCGACAGGGCGCTTAGCATTTAAAAAGTGCTTTTTGGGTGCTCAGAGAGCATCACATACATGACCACAGCAATCCTTACATCAGGCCTGTAAGGCAGTTCTTTATTACTACATATGGCCAATGGAGGGGTGGGCTGAGAGACAATGCCCCCCCCACACACATTTGAGCATTATTTAGCCCATGGGTAGCCAAACTAAGGCCCGGAGGCCGGATCCGGCCCAATCGCCTTCTAAATCCGGCCTGCAGACGGTCCGGGAATCAGCATGTTTTTACATGAGTAGAATTTGCCCTTTTATTTAAAATACATCTCTGGGTTATTTGTGGGGCATAGGAATTTGTTCATTTTTTTTCCAAAATATAGTCTGGCCCCCCACAAGTTCTGAGGGACAGTGGACTGAAAAAGTTTTCTGACCCCTGATTTAGCCATTTGTCTACTTCCCCACCCCATTCAAATTAGATTGGAATAGCCTCCACCCACATGTATCTGAATTTATATATGAGAAACAACTTTGGTCTTTTCTGTCCATACCAGCAAGCGTTCCCTTTTGTTTTTGCGCCTGCTTTCTCATTTGTTGATTCAGTTTTGCCAATTAAGAACTGACGGGGCACGCATGCAGATAGCTGCGGCACGTGCAAAAGCACCCCGGTTGCGCAGTTATAAATTTGCTTGTGTTGCTTTCTGGTTTTGTGCAAACCTGATAAACAAACAAACAACCCCCCCCTCCCCGGTTCGGGACTGGGAGCACACCATAAATAGTTATGAGTACGACTGGAAAAGAAATGAACTCATTGAGGAAGTAGCAGGCATGGAAAAGAGAGTGGCAGAAAGCGAGGGTTGCTCTTGTGTCACCCTAAAACATGGACCCAAATCGGCTGCAACCCTGAACGGAGCAGTTTGCAGCCCGGTTTTGCTCAGCTTATCGGATCATCCCCCTAATCGGGGAACCTGAATTTATGGAAGGAAAGCATTGAGGTGGGTGCTGCTTGGGGGTGTGTGTGTTAACGTCATGTGGACTATGCAAATTCAATGAGAAACAGACATTAAACTCCGTTATGGATAAGCCTGGTATGGCTTGCCTAAGGTCCACGTAGTTAGCCGAGGTGAGATTTCAACTGGGGATTTTCCTGGCGTGACACTGTTTGGCGCTACACTATTCAGACTTGTTCCGCCTTCCATTTCTTGGAATAAAGCAATCCACCCAAATGTTTGTCTAACAGCCTCCTGCAACCTGTTTTATTGCTCCACCCTCACAGTTATGGGTGGTGGAGCAGGTGGGCTGTTCTATTGGTTCACCGCCCTTAGAAAATTCCTGGTTATGCAGGGTGTGTGTTGCAGAATGTGGGGCAGGACCACCACCACTTGAGGGGCGTTCTAGGAGAGGCAGGTGGAAGAGCCTTTTGTGGGGCTGGTTGTTTCTCCACACTGCCCCATCATTCCCAGTCTGATTTGGGGGAAGAGGAAGTAGAGGAAGAGCCACTGTTTTGTTCTCATGAAAGCTCCTTGTGTGTGACTTGAGGACCAGGGAGGGTCAGAAATGTCCTCTTCTGTTACTCTTCTGTTGACCACATTATGCTTCCAGTCTACAGATTCTCACATGCAACTGCATTCAACCTTACGTGAAAATCTGCACATTTTCTACACATAAGCCCTCTTTTTCTGTTTTGAAGCTAACTGTGGATCAACGCTTCCGCCAGCGTTTCCGCTAACCATTGTTTCCACTGAGCTGTTGTTCAAAGTGGGTCTGGAAACTGTGGTTTGGGCTAACAGAAAGGGCAGTAAAAATGTAGCAATAAGCATAATTAGTTCTGAAACTCAGTGGGAGGCATGATTGACTGTGCAAGAGAGGAGGAGGATCCTAGGAGCCCATTTCTCGATCTCCTGAGCATGGTTTGAAGATGGGACAGAAAAAATGCAAGGAAATCCCCCCCCCTAAAAGCGATGCTACTTAAGTTTCCCAAGCAACAGCTAACCGTTTTGCAGAAAATGTCATCTGGAAATGTTCCTAAGATGTACAACACCATGCTTAGAGATGGTCAAGAAACACAACACACGGCCAATTGAATGTGAATACCTTGGGTCAAGGTTTATGTAAAGTAAGAGACCTTGGAAGAACTTCTGGCCAGAGGAGCAAAAACCATGACTGGTTTCAGAACGGGCCAATTGATTCTTGAATTTCAGAGTAACTGATTTCAGAACAGAGCTGGATGTATGCACAAATATATGCATTTAATGGTAGGATACATTTTAATTTGGAATTTGGGGCTGTGTGGCCTTGTGCCTATAATTTATCTTCCTTCTGAAACGTCAGAAATGCTATTATTATTATTATTATTATTATTATTATTAGGAGTCTTGGGGTTCTTGTGAACTTGCACAGGAAGTCTAAGGGCTCTTCAGTGTGGCAGTTTGAAAATGTAATCCAGTATTCTCACCATGGCCAACCAGAGAGACTTCCATGAGGGAAACCCCGGGCAGGATCAGTGCACAATAACAACTCTCTCCTCCTTTGCCTTCCAGCAACTGGGATTCAGAATCATACTGCCCCATTGAACAAGGCTGATAGCCATTGATAGCCTTTTATCCTCAACGAATTTGACTAATCCTCTTTAAAATCCATCTGAACTTGTCTGCAAGTTCCATTGTTTAACTGCATGAAAAAGCACTTTCTGTTATCTGCCCTGATCCTTCCGACATTCGGCTTCAGCGTTATGAGAAAGGGAGAAAAAGTTTCTCTACAAAAAGTGGTTCTCATTTAGCTGAGGACCCCCTCCCTGTTTTTCAGCCACAGGACCCCCTAATTTTGAAAAAATTGATAATTCTATGGTACTAGATTCAGGTAGGTAGCTGGGTTGGTCTGACACAGTCAAAATATATTAAAAAATAAAAAAATTGTCCAGTAGCACCTTAAAGGTAAAGGGACCCCTGACCATTAGGTCCAGTCGTGGCTGACTCTGGGGTTGCGGCGCTCATCTCGCTTTACTGGCCGAGGGAGCCAGTACAGCTTCCAGCGAACCAGAGCAGCGCATGGAAACGTCGTTTACCTTCCCGCCAGAGCGGTACCTATTTATCTACTTGCACTTTGACGTGCTTTCGAACTGCTAGGTGGGCAGGAACCAGGACAAAGCAACGGGAGCTCACCCTGTTGCGGGGATTCAAACCGCCGACCTTCTGATCGGCTCTGTGGTTTAACCCACAGCACCACCCGTGTCCCAGTAGCACCTTAGAGACCAACTATGTTTGTTCTTGGTATAAGGTTTCGTGTGCATTACCTGCATATATATTTTCTTGAACAAAATGTGGGATAGCCCCTAATAAGCAAAGGATTCTAGGTATACTAAAAGAGAAAGGGGGGAAAAAGACTAAGGCTAAGAGATATCTGTTTTTCAACATCATGATGTACCAGCAGCTAAACATCTTGATGTTCTGAAGTTGGAGATCAGGCATGGGGATGAAGGAAGGAGCAGTCATGAAGTTTTGGTGGGTGGGACGAGGAGAGGAAACGGAGTCACTTCCACAGCATGGTTTGAGTGGGAGGGGATGGGGGAGTAGGCCTGGGCGATATATCAATACAGTGGTACTTCGGGTTAAGTACTTAATTTGTTCCGGAGGTCTGTTCTTAACCTGAAACTGTTCTTAACTTGAAGCACCACTTTAGCTGATGGGGCCTCCCACTGCTGCCGCGCCACCGGAGCACGATTTCTGTTCTCATCCTGAAGCACAGTTCTTAACCCGAGGTAATATTTCTGGGTTAGTGGAGTCTGTAACCTGGAGCATATGTAACCTGAGGTACCACTGTACCTTGGTTGTCGAACGGCTTAGCTCCCAAACAAATTGGATCCCGAATGCCGCAAACCCGGAAGTAAGCGTTCCAGTTTGTGAATGTTTTTTGGAAGCCGACCGTCAGACGTGGCTTCCGATTGAGTGCAGGAAGCTCCTGTAGCCAATCGGAAGCCGCGCCTTGGTTTTCGAACAGTTCCGGGAGTCGAACGGATTAAGTATGAGGGGCAGACCACGGTGGGGGCTTCGCCCGGTGGTGTATTGCTGGTGAAAATGAGGGGAAAACAAGCTGCAGCGAGGACAGTGGTGGTTTGACACCAGCTCCTTTCTGACATTGTGATATACTGCCACACCGCAGTGTTTAGCTGACTGTCTGCTCTGCCAAAGAGAGGGAAAGGCAGCTCCTCACATTCTCTGCCCTGGTCTCCCTCGTCTTGAGGGGAGGCAGATCAGATCAGCAGCGTTATCGGCGGAGATCACCGTGCGATATCGGCGGCGCCTCAAAATCGGCTGCTCTGCCCTCCCTCGCGCGAGGAGCAATACAGGGTTAAAATTGTTATCGTGGTGTGATTTCGAAACCGATTTTGGGCCAGCATACAGCGGTACCTCAGGTTAAGTACTTAATTCGTTCCGAAGGTCCGTACTTAACCTGAAACTGTTCTTAACCTGAGGTACCACTTTAGCTAATGGGGCCTCCTGCTGCCGCCGGAGCACGATTTCTGTTCTCATCCTGAAGCAAAGTTCTTAACCTGAAGCACTATTTCTGGGTTAGCGGAGTCTGTAACCTGAAGCGTATGTAACCTGAAGCATATGTAACCTGAGGTACCACTGTATTGAAAAATCGCACAGCGCTAAAGCAGACCGTAAAATTCGCAAAATTACTATGCAAAAATGACAAAATTAGAGTTGGGGGCTGCAGACAAGAGATGGGGCCACGGACCCCTAATTTGGATCCACTGCTCATGCTTGCAGATTTTTCTCAGTGTCCACATTATGTTGTCCTCATCAAATTGCTGCCCCGTATATATTTTTTTACCCATTTAATCCAGATTCGTCTACTGTTTCCTCCTTTCAATTACAGTGGTGCCCCGCAAGACGAATGCCTCGCAAGACGAAAAACTTGCTAGACGAAAGAGTTTTCCGTTTTTTGAGTCGTTCCGCAAGACGAATTTCCCTATGGGCTTGCTTCGCAAGACGAAACGTCTTGCGAGTTCTTGCGAGTTTGTTTCCTTTTTCTTAAAGCCGCTAAGCCGTTAATAGCTGCTAAGCCGCTAATAGCCGTGCTTCGCAAGATGAAAAAACCGCAAGACGAAGAGACTCGCGGAACGGATTAATTTCGTCTTGCGAGGCACCACTGTATGAGGTTATCCAAAGAAATGGGAAATCAGGATTAAATGGGGTAGGACAGCGTTTTGATGGCGACGTTGCCATGTGGACTCTGTGCAAAACTTGCGTGCGTGAGCAATCCCAGGCATATATCCATAGAGTTGTGCCTGCAGGCGCCAGTGTGCTTGCCAGTACTTCCTATCACGCCCACAAAAGTTCTCAATAAATATCCCCTCAAATATCCACAGTGCGCAAGAGACGTGTCTGCCCTTCCTGCTCAGTTGAAATTTGCCTTGGCTCGTCCTTTCCTACGTTGAACAGGCCCTCTTACACATGCCCACACTTCATACTGGGGGCCAGGTGGGCAGCCCTTGCGTTGCCACCCAGTAGCTTGGGTGCCCAGGTGGCACAAGCAGCAAAACTTTAGTGTGTGGAGGATTCCCAGACCGTCTTCTCCCTGAACATGTAGCCGCCGACTCTCTTAATAGATCATATGACCCTATTCAAAAGAAAATCAGTGCGTACATTTGGGGAAATTGGGGCATCTTATGGAGCAAATAGGATGCGGGTGGCGCTGTCGGTTAAACCACAGAGCCTAGGACTTGCCGATCAGAAGGTCGGCGGTTCGAATCCCCGCGAGGGGGTGAGCTCCTGTTGCTCGGTCCCTGCTCCTGCCAACCTAGCAGTTCGAAAGCACGTCAGAGTGCAAGTAGATAACTAGGTACCACTCCGGCGGGAAGGTAAACGGCGTTTCCGTGCACTGCTCTGGTTCGCCAGAAGCAGCTTAGTCATGCTGGCCACATCACCTGGAAGCTGTATGCCGGCTCCCTCAGCCTATAGAGCGAGATGAGTGCCGCAACCCCAGAGTTGGTCACGACTGGACCTAACGGTCAGGGGTCCCTTTACCTTTATGGAGCAAATATTCATCTGCTGCTCTTCTTCTAATATTATTTTCTGACGTCTTGTGCTCTTTTATTGTTACAGTCGTACCTCGGGTTACAAACACTTTGGGTTACAGACTCCGCTAACCCAGAAGTAGTACCTCGGGTTAAGAACAGAAATTAAGAACAGAAATTCTGTTCTTGGGATGAGAACAGAAATTGCGCGGCGGTGGCAGTGGGAGGCCCCATTAGCTAAAGTGGTACCTCAGGTTAAGAGCGGTTTCAGGTTAAGAACGGACCTCCGGAACGAATTAAGTTCGTAACCAGAGGTACCACTGTGTTTGAATTTTTTTGTCATTGAGTTTTGCTGTTGCGTCCCTCGCCAATGGCAACTCCACGTGAAGTCATGGGGTGGAGAGAGAGCTTGCTTCTGTCCTTTAACGTGCAGTAAAACGGCACTTCACGAGCTTCCCGATTGGCATGCAAACGTTTGCAATGTCCACACAAACGTCATTGTCCCATATTCCCTCCACCATTAAATCTGGATCAACCCTTTCTGGGCGGAAATCCAATAATAAAAGAAAGAAGGAAATCTGATGTCGACAGCTAATCCTCACTATGTGAACAACCCATTTACAATATGAAGTCCCCACCTGGAAGCACCGTTTGCCCTGCTGAGCTAGTTCTGAGCTAGACACCAAAGGTATGATTCAGTAGAAGCCAAACCACGCATGAGTTTGTTTTTCCATCGCTGGAACTCCTAGCACAATTTTGTTCTTCAAAAAGCAACCACGGCGGGGAGGGGTGACTTGGGAGAGGAGGTTCCAAAGCTTTTTCCGATCACAGAAGACCAGTATATCATGTCGTTTGACTTTGAGGCACTTGCAACAACAGTCAACACAAGTTTGGCTCAGCCCTCATCAGCCTAGGGCAATCCAGATGTTTTAGACTACAACTCCCAGCTGGGCTGGCTGGGGCTGGTGGGAGTTGTAGTCCTAAACATCTGCAGGTTGCCAGGCCGGCTAAGGCTGCTTTTAGATGGTTTCCTACCTGATATTTCCTCCTGCGTCTCCTTTCGACCTGCCTTGGGTGTGTCTGCCTGTAACTTACCGTATTTTTCGCTCCATAGGACGCACTTTTTCCCCTCCAAAAATGAAGGGGAAATGTGTGTGCGTCCTATGGAAGCGAATGCAGGCTTCGCTGAAGCCTGGAGAGCGAGAGGCATCGGTGCGCACCGACCCCTCTCGCTCTCCAGGCTTCAGGAAGCTATCCGCAAGCCTTGCAAGCCCGGTGGGAGTTCCCGGGGCTCACAAGGCTTGCAGGCAGCAGCCTGCAGCCCCGGCGAGTGTCCGCAAGCCTTGCGCGCCCGGCAGGAGGTCCCGCCGAGCGCGCGAGGCTTGGGGCAGCAGCCTGTCGCCCGAAGCACGGGGAGCCCTCCGGAGGGCTCCCCGTGCTTCGGGCGAGTGTCTGCAAGCCTTGCGCGCCCGGCAGGAGGTCCCGCCCAGCGCGCAAGACTTGGGGCGGCAGCCTGTCGCCCGAAGCACGGGGAACCCTCCGGAGGGCTCCCCGTGCTTCGGGCGAGTGTCCGCAAGCCTTGCGCGCCCGGCAGGAGGTCCCGCCCGGCGCGCAAGGCTTGGGGCTGCAGCTTGTCGCCCGAGCACGGGAGCCCTCCGGAGGGCTCCCCGTGCTCGGGCGAGTGTCCGCAAGCCTTGCGCGCCCGGCAGGAGGTCCCGCCCGGCGCGCAAGGCTTGGGGCTGCAGCTAGTCGCCCGAAGCACGGGGAGCCCTCCGGAGGGCTCCCGTGCTTCGGGCGAGTGTCCGCAAGCCTTGCGCGCCCGGCAGGAGGTCCCGCCCGGCGCGCAAGGCTTGGGGCTGCAGCTGTCGCCCGAGCACGGGAGCCCTCCGGAGGGCTCCCGTGCTTCGGGCGAGTCACCGCAGCCTTGCGCGCCCGGCAGGAGGTCCCGCCCGGCGCGCAAGGCTTGGGGCTGCAGCTTGTCGCCCGAAGCACGGGAGCCCTCCGGAGGGCTCCCGTGCTTCGGGCGAGTGTCCGCAAGCCTTGCGCGCCCGGCAGGAGGTCCCGCCCGGCGCGCAAGGCTTGGGGCTGCAGCTTGTCGCCCGAGCACGGGGAGCCCTCCGGAGGGCTCCCGTGCTTCGGGCGAGTGTCCGCAAGCCTTGCGCGCCCGGCAGGAGGTCCCGCCCGGCGCGCAAGGCTTGGGGCTGCAGCTTGTCGCCCGAAGCACGGGAGCCCTCCGGAGGGCTCCCCGTGCTTCGGGCGAGTGTCCGCAAGCCTTGCGCGCCCGGCAGGAGGTCCCGCCCGGCGCGCAAGGCTTGGGGCTGCAGCTTGTCGCCCGAAGCACGGGAGCCCTCCGGAGGGCTCCCGTGCTTCGGGCGAGTGTCCGCAAGCCTTGCGCGCCCGGCAGGAGGTCCCGCCCGGCGCGCAAGGCTGGGGCTGCAGCTTGTCGCCCGAAGCACGGGGAGCCCTCCGGAGGGCTCCCGTGCTTCGGGCGAGTGTCCGCAAGCCTTGCGCGCCCGGCAGGAGGTCCCGCCCGGCGCGCAAGGCTTGGGGCTGCAGCTTGTCGCCCGAGCACGGGGAGCCCTCCGGAGGGCTCCCGTGCTCGGGCGAGTGTCCGCAAGCCTTGCGCGCCCGGCAGCAGGTCCCGCCGAGCGCGCAAGGCTTGGGGCGGCAGTCTGTCGCCCGAGCACGGGAGCCCTCCGGAGGGCTCCCGTGCTTCCGGCGAGTGTCTGCAAGCCTCGCGCGCCCGGTGGGAGGTCCCGCCGAGCGCGCGAGGCTTGGGAGGCAGCCTGCCGCCCGAAGCACGCGAGGCTTGGGGCGGCAGCCGCGGGGGGATAATTTTTTTTATTCATTCCCCCCCCCCCCCCAAAAAAACGAGGTGCGTCCTATGGACCGGTGCGTCCTATAGAACGAAAAATACGGTATTTTCTCCCCTGAGCCAAACATTGTAAACCCTTTTCAGAAAGAGCGAAGGAGATTAGGCTGCTCCCAACCAAGGTTGCCTTCCTATTGTTTCTGAGAAGGCGAATGGCTTTTGAACCTTCTTTCATTATCTTGGATTAGAGGGAGCTATTTCAGGGCCGTCCAGCAACTCGCCTCTTCACGTGGCTGGGATTTTATTAGCCAGATGTTCCTGCGGTCCAGTAGGAAATTTCCTTCTCCTCCCTTGCCCTGACTCCCCAGAATGGGTGCAATCCATCACTGGGCAGGATTCATTGGAAAGCATAGAATATATGCCATAATAATATTGCACACAAGTGGTGTTTTGACACAGCGTGTTCACACGGCGCTTGCGGATGCAAAGCGTGCCGGACAAATGAGCGTTTGTAAATAAGCGGGAAGGACACATGGTTTCATGGTATGTTTACAAATACACGACACTTTCATTGTGTTTACCATTATAGATACCATTATGTATGCAGCAAACACAACATGCCCCATAAATTGTGAGTTGGCTGAGACCCATCAGTTTGCATAGGCTGCACCAGTTGGCTCCCTTCCCACTAACACGCCAGTTGCACTTTGAGAAAAATGATTTTGGAACTTAATATATGGATGCCATGGTTTAGGTTTGAGCCCTGCACAACATCACACACATGCTCAGTAACTGAACACATTTCCCTGCGCTGCGAATAAGTTTGACGACTCTTGCTATTAAATAGTGGGTAAGAACTTCAATACATAACACTTGCTTTTCGTTTCAGTAAGGTTTCAAGCTCGTGGGATTATAAAGAAATGTTTAGATGGTGACCACGGAGCCTTCACGTTCTTTTCTTCCGCAACCGGGATTGAACAGAAGTTTAAATTCTCTCCCCCCCCCCGGAAAAGCTGTCCAATTGTGGATGTGCAATTTTCTTTAGAACCCTCTTCGCTTTTTCCATCCTTTGCAACTTTTCCCGCTGCAGGTTTTGCCAGTTTTTGCTGCTCAGGAGGAGAGCGTGGGGTTTAGATTTTCCATGGCCTCTCTCATCTCCCTGATAGCCCCAAATCCTTTCTAAACAGCACAGCAGACACTGGCGTTGTGCAAGCTGGACCGGGGCCCTTACCCCCTCCTCACCCCCACCCCTGGACAGGCAGCCTTGGACATTAGAATCTGTTGTTTGCATGCGGGGGCGGGGGGGGGCAGGTCTGGCAACCAGCCCTGGCTTGGTCTCCCCTTTCCCCAAAGGTATCTCTCATCCCTCTGCACTGTGTACAAGAAGACCTTTGAAACATGGCGACAGCCACATCAAAGCCCACCCCTTTGTTGGGAAACCAGGAGTCAAATCTGCTCCGTCCCTGCAGCTGAGGAGATAGGGCCGGTTTGCAAAATCTTGCTCGTTGAAGCATTAAACTGGGGTAACCAACATGCCCCCTGGTTTAGCAGCCGCACGGTGCAATCCTGACTTCAGGGTTTGTCCACCCTTCCTGTTGCTGTCCCCCAGTGAAAACCCACTCTCTAGCGCTTAATTGGAGCAAACAGCAATTCCGGTTTCCCTGGATTGACGTTTGTTCCGATCTGTCGCTAAAGAGCGGGTTTTCCCTTTGAAAAGAGCAGCGCAAGGGGGAAACTGCTCAGAGCCGTGCTTTCTAGAGATGGCACAAGCAGATGTGTGGATGCCCCACTGTGTTCCGGGAGGCTCCCCTCCTAGTATATGTGGATGGGACTACAGCCCCAGGCACTGGGTACCCTCAAAGTGTGCCAGCGACACAGTCCTGCCTCCCACTTTGTAAAAGTGTGCCATTGCTTTCCCGAAACATCAATCCTGTGAGTAGGGACTCCTCGTTTTTGCGAGGCACCTGACCTCATTGTAGGCTAAGAGTGGCCCTCCAGATGTTGCAATCATCATCGCTGGCTATTGATTATGCCAGTTGGGGCTGATGGGAGTCCAATAATATCTGGAGGGTCAGAGATTTAGGCACTTGAAATATTTGACTTAGGGCTGCCACACTGAGTTGATTAACCGGTTAGGTGAAACAATTAAAAGCCACGTTAATCATCTAAAAGGCAGGTCCCAATTCATGGGACTATAGGTTTATAACTTTTGAATTCAAGGAATTCAGCTTTTTAGTACAAGTTGCTTTTGTAATTGCAGGTGTCAAATGTCATATTAGGTGTCTTCAATACCCCAAAGCAATATCTGTCTGCAGTATCCCCAAACAAAAGAAGTACGTGTTTGTTTGTTCTTTTGCTTTAGACCTATGTGATTTTTACATGTGCAGATTTATGGGTGGCGCTGTGGGTTAAACCACAGAGCCTAGGACTTGCCAATCAGAAGGTCGGCGGTTCGAATCCCCACGATGGGGCGAGCTCCCGTTGTTCAGTCCCTGCTCCTGCCAACCTAGCAGTTCGAAAGCACGTCAAAGTGCAAGTAGATAAATAGGTACCGCTCCAGTGGGAAGGTAAACGGCGTTTCCGTGCGCTGCTCTGGTTCGCCAGAAGCGGCTTAGTCATGCTGGCCACATGACCCGGAAGCTGTACGCTGGCTCCCTCGGCCAGTAAAGCGAGATGAGCGCCGCAACCCCAGAGTCAGCCACGACTGGACCTAATGGTCAGGTGTCCCTTTACCTTTACCTAGTGGATCCACTTAACTGGTTAATCGCCCCAAGCTGTAATCCAAAATACACTTACTTGGATGAGAAAGCACCACTGAAAATAGTTATTTCTAAATAAACATGGCCTGTTTAGAGATGCATGAGATTGTGCTTCTTTCATTAGTCAAGTGAAAGCCCCAACATTACATCAACAGTAATATATCCTTTATCTTGGTGGCATTGGAAACACGGAGCTTTGTAGAATAACATAAGTCTAAATCAACCTTCCCTAAACTGGTGCCCTTCAGATGTTTTGGACTACAACAACTCCCATTGAACATCTTTGTTTCTCAAACTTTTTGAACTTGAGCGTCTTTTCTGGACTTTATTTTATGAAACACATGTGCTCCCCAGGAGGAGGAAAGAAGAATTTACTTGCTAAGATCCTTTCCTTCCTTGGAATTTTGATCCCACATTTTTGAGGACCAGTGTGTTAGGTGCAGATGCACTCAGCAGGGGCTCCAAAGCCAACAAGAAAAGTCAGATCATAGAATGGTAGAGTCGGAAGAGACTCTGTGGGTCATCCCACAGACTGCGGAGAGAATAATTGGGTGCACTCTTCCCACCTTGGATCAAATCTATGCTTCCAGGTGCTATAAAAAGCTGCAGAGATAGCGCAGGATAGTGCGCACCCCGGAAATGATCTCTTTCAGCTTCTGCCTTCTGGAAGAAGGTACAGGGTTATAAAGACTAGTACTAGCTGCCTGAGAAACAGTTTCTACCCAAATGCGATTTTGGTTTTAAACTCAGTGTAAAGAGTGTCTATGGGAGTATATTGTATTTAAAAATGGGGTATCAGGGTTTTTAGGGGGCTAACCAGGTTGGGATAGCTGGGATAGCAGGCTTGTTGGGTTTGAATGTTTTATGTAGATTTTTCAATTTCGTTGTTCTGTATGGAAGAATGACAATAAAGATTATCGTATTGTACCGTATCCAGTCCAACCCTCTGCAATACAGGAATCCTGCCCACAGACAGGGCCGTCTTACCCATAGGCACTAGGGGTGTGGGGCACCCGGGCGCAGGCTCTCAGGGGCGCCAGGCCTAGAGTCCGGGGCCCGAGAGTTGAGTCCGGGGAAGAGCCCGTCCGTCGGTCAGAACGCCGTGGCAGGATCTTCTGCTGAGGGTGGCTCTGTGCCGCGAGTTTGGGGGCAACTGAGCCAGCGAGATGCTGAGGCGGCTGGCCAGCTCCTCCCTCCTGAGCGCCTGAGACTGGGAAACCTGGGGGGGGGGTGCGCCGGGCAGATCTTTGCACCCCGGCACCACATATGCTTAAGACAGCCATCCCTGGATGGACTCAAACCACCAATGTTCTGGGTTAACTAGTCAGCCCCTTAAGCAGCAGGTTGGGAAGGCAACAGGGGGAAGTGAGGGGCAGGAATAGGAAGTGATGAGTGAGATCCAAAGGCATGTGTTCACATATTTGTTTTAACTGGAGATTCTATTTGGAGATTCAGCTGAATGCTTCAAAAGGAAGCCACTGTTGTTGACTGGCCCTGCTCCTGTGCTTGGGGGTGTAGGGGTGGGGAAAATGTCGCCTGCTGAATGTCTGCATGTAAGACTTCTGTTTCAAGCGTAGGAGCAGGGGCTGTAGAAATGCTGGCAACTCTTTTAGACCAGTTGCAGGGTAGGAAAACAGTGGGTTTTCCCACCTGTCCATACATTATACAGTGGTACCTCTAGATACGAACGGGATCCGTTCTGGAGCCCCGTCGCATCTAGAGATAAACGTATCTAGCGACGGCACGTCTGCGCATGCGCGTGTCGCTTTTCGCCGTTTCTGCGCATGCGCGTGATGTCGTTTTGCGCGTCTGCGCATGCGCAAGCAGCGAAACCTGGAAGTAACGTGCTCCGTTACTTCCGGGTTGCCGCGGAGCGCAACTCGAACGCGCTCAACCCGAAGCGTATTTAACCCAAGGTATGACTGTACCCTGGAGCGGGGGTTCTAATTCACATCAGCATCATATACAGCATAATTCCATGTAGAATCACCCTTACTGCTACCCATAAAACTACTTCTAAGTGGGGGAAACCCAGACTTTAATGCTCCCCTGACTTTGAACATGCCTGGGCGGTTTCAGCGTGTTAAGGACTGAGAAGTGAGCTCTCCTGTGCTGGCCGGGACTGATGGGAGTTGTAGTCCAAAACATCTGGAGGGTGGGCTAGAAATGATGTTGGGTGAAAGGGTTCACCCCCGTCAAGTACTGCAGACCTCCTCCTCTTGCTTTTTTAAAAAATCATTTTTATTGATTTTTCAATAAAAACAGCCAATCAACATATCCACATCACAATCCAATTAAAAACAATAAACTAAAATAAAAAAACCCCACCAAATTGCAGTCCAATTTGTTAATTATTAATTTTTCCGGGCTCCCCATAGTCTGGACCTCTGAAGAACATCTCCAATATCTTCGTTCCTGCCTCTTCCCTTGTTTTCATATTTTCCACATTCTGATCTTAACGCTTTTAACCCAACAAAAAAATGTCATAGGATCCCATCACAGAGCTCCTGTGCCACATCTGGGTTTGTCATTATAAGGGCCTTAGCTCAGTGGTAGAAAGTCTGGTTTGCGTGCAGAAAGTCCCAAATTTGATCCCTGACAACTTCTGCTAGGACTTGCCCACACCTGAGCAAGCAAAATGCGAATGTGTGTTGACCTGCCTCTCCGTTTCGGGGGGGTGTGTGTGTGTGTGTCCACATGACTTTGTCTCCATTTCAGGGTTGTCCCAGACCTTTCCCCCTCTAACTGTGGGGTTTTCCAATCCGTGGAAAGTGCAGAACAGCCCGGATTGAAAAACCTTCCATTTAAAAGGGGCGGATGGGGAGAGAGGGACGTGGGTGGCGCTGTGGGTTAAACCACAGAGCCTAGGACTTGCCAATCAGAAGGTCGGCAGTTCGAATCCCCGTGATGGGGTGAGCTCCCGTTGCTCGGTCCTTGCTCCTGCCAACCTAGCAGTTCGAAAGCACATAAAAGTGCAAGTAGATAAATAGGTACCACTCCAGCGGGAAGGTACCGTATTTTTTGCACCATAACACTCACTTTTTTCCTCCTAGAAAGTAAGGGGAAATGTCTGTGCGTGTTATGGAGGGAATGCCTATGGGTGGCATGCCTACGGATTTTCCTCCTCTAAAAACTACATGTGTGTTATGGTCGGGTGCGTGTTATAGAGCGAAAAATACGGTAAACGGCGTTTCCATGCGCTGCTCTGGTTCGCCAGAAGCGGCTTAGTCATGCTGGCCACATGACACGGAAGCTGTACACCGGCTTCCTCGGCCAATAAAGCAAGATGAGCGCCACAACCCCAGAGTCGGCCACGACTGGACCTAATGGTCAGGGGTCCCTTTACCTTTACCTTACGTGGAGAGAAGATGTGAAACAACCCTGGGGTGGTTTGGACATCGTCTTCTGGTGTGGGCAGGCCCAGACTCTGGAGAGCCTCTGCCAGTCAGGGTAGATCACTGGTTCTAAACGGCAGCTTCTTGGGTCTCTTGCGTAGGACTAGGAAAGACCCTTCGCGTCCCAGTCTCCTCTGGCAGAGCTGCCAGTCCCTGGTCCCCAATACAGAAAAGCTCCCCATGTTTCCCAATGGACTGAAGGGAAGGCATGTGTAGCTTGCCAGTCCTTCACCCTCCTCTCTCTGCACCTCCTTCCTTTGTTCCCTGCACTGTTGAAATTTAGACTGCAAGCTCCTTGGGGGCAAGGACCTGCTTATTTAGCTTAGGCCATAAAGCTCTGCGTATATCAAAGGCTCTATATCAGCAGCAGGACCTTGGCAGTTCTCCCGAAACCGAATTTTGCCTCTTGAAAAGAGGTTCTGGAGCTCACCGTCTTGGAAACCTGGCTCAAATTAAACTCTGCTGCTGAATAGAGAATCCTGCCTTGCTCCGACGGAACGGGCCGAGCCAAAAATCACCCCCTTTCAACCATATCCTGTTGCCACCTTCCCTCTGAACGACACCCATTGGTTCTCGGGCAAAGTTTGCATCCTGCTCAGCAGGTTTCTGTTTGCTCCATTCCACGAAGACCACAGAAGGTGCTAAAATTAAGTCGGTTTTTCCTGCATGGGAAAGTTTGGACCAATTCTGAACATCTGGGGGCTGGGAGAGACGGTGGACTGGACCACTGGAGATGGGGAGGGAGAGAGAGAGGAAAAAAGAGCCGTTGTCTTTAAAATGGCTGGAAGTGCCAACTCCGTCTCGGCTTGCAGAACGTTTTGCTTTTCAACCAGACCCCAGAAGGACTTGCATGTGCAATTGCCAAAGTTGTCACTGGCCCTACTCCTGTGCAGTTAACAGCAGCCTGATGCAGAGAGATTTTTTTTTGCAAATGAAGCTTTCCCCCATCATGTTAGCTCCATGCCAGGAAAATATTCACCTGCTAAATTTGTGCCAATCAACTCACTGCTTAAGGCACAGGGGCAGGACTAGTTTTTAAAATTTGGTGACCCCTTTCTCAGTTTAGATTATTTTTTGGGGGGGGGAGGAGATTATAGAATACCTTTGGATTATAGAATACCTTTAGACCAAGGGCATAGCTGTCAAGCGTCCCTTATTTGGCGGGACAGTCCCTTATCCCAGCGCCATGTCCCGCTGCTGTCCCTTATTGATGATGTCCCTTAAATAAGCTACTGAAGGTAATGGGGCCCTTTCTATGTCCAGCTGTGCTTTGTCAACAACAAATTGTTGCTGTTTTTTGTGTTGAATATATGCTGTATGGTAATTTATAGGACCTAATAGGTATCTAAAGCCATTTGCACGCGACAAAATATGTATTTTATCAAAGTAATTGTTGATCCCTTATTTTGGCTGCTGATCCCTTATTTTCGAGGCTGCTGGTCCCTTATTTTCAAATCTGTAAGTTGACAGCTATGACCAAGGGGAGTCAACTTAGTGCCCTAGTCTAGTTGTTAACTACAAATCCCACCATGTCTGACCATGGGCCATTCTGGCTTGAATGGATGGGAGTCGGAGTCCAACAATATCTGAAGAGTACCATTAGAGCTGCTCCTGTTTTTGGTGACTTGGCTATCCAGCAATAGTGCTAGAAATCAGTTTTAGGTATAATCAAGGCTAAAAAGAATCCCACTAATAATTGTCAAAGAGATTCCAATTTAAACCATCATGAATGGGATAGGGAGGCCCTGTTACGACTCCCTGCTCCTATTTTGTGTCTTCGGAAGAACAGAGACTGCTGTCCTAAACACACGTGTAGCAGCCCACTCTGAAACACATTGACTCAGAAGTAGGCCCCACGGGACTCACCACGTCTTACTCCAAAGTAAATATGTACGGGACGGCAGCCTGTTATTGTACCTTTCACCCTACAGAGGTTTAAAACACCTGGGGGCATTTCTGTAAGGGATGCCTTAGAGAACACACACCACAGCTCTGATGCGCGTCCCTGTCCTTCTGCTATATTTACACAAACAAAACGACTTTCAGAGACCCTCTCACACGTCTGCCGATGACTAGAAAAGACATTTTCTTAACCTGTTTGTTTATTTCCCGCGGTCACAGATTTGACTGCAAAGCAAAAGTTTGCTGGGATTAAAAAATGGCAGAAAGGGAAATTAGAATCCAACCTAAAGATGTTGAGAGGGGTAGCAAAAAAACAACCCGAACTCCTGCGGCACGTTAAAGACTAACAGATTTATCACGGCATAAGCTTTTGTGGAGCCCATGAAAGGTTATGCCACGATAAATCTGAGAGTCTTTAACATGACACAGAAGTCTTGGCTGTTTTTAACTCAGTCTGCCTATCTGAAGGCAGCCCTGTATCGGGAAGATTTTAACATCTGATGTTTTGTTGTGTTCTTTTATATTCTTTTGGAAGCTGACCTGCGTGGCTGGGGCAATCCATTTCGATGGGAAGGGTACAAGTAATAAACTATCATCATCATCATCATCAAATCAGTCCGGATAAGTTATAGCATTCAACGCTAGGTTCTTTCTTACAAAGGCTGTGTACACACTCCCGTCGACTCGGCATTCGGTGTGCGTCAACCACTGGTTTGGGGGACACACATATAACCTTAGTCACAATCTGCATCTATCCCATTGTTTCTTAAGAAATACAGCATTTTGATGTGCTTGCCAATCCCGGAGCAGCTTCAATATAAATTGAGAAAAAAGAATGAGCTAACTGCGTTTCAACACAGTACTGTGTACACGACCAAAGAGCCAAACTACCCAGGGCCTGTGAGATTTGTGAGTGGGTCTCCAAGAGGCATATTTAGTGATCAGTATCTTTTGATTACATGTACAGTGGTACCTCGGGTTACATACACTTCAGGTTACAGACTCCGCTAACCCAGAAATATTACCTCGGGTTAAGAACTTTGCTTCAGGATAAGAACAGAAATTGTGCTCCGGCGGCACGGCGGCAGCAGGAGGCCCCATTAGCTAAAGTGGTGCTTCAGGTTAAGAACAGTTTCAGGTTAAGAACAGACCTCCAGAACGAATTAAGTACTTAACCCGAGGTACGACTGTATAGCAAATGTCAGCTTTCTGCTCATTGTTCAAGTACTTCCTCAATATGCATGTTAATATTGGTGATATTAGTGAGGGGACGAGTCCGTCGGTGAATTCCAAAAACCGTTATCTTCAAAATAAGTGAATACATAAACAACATTTACAAATAAGAGATGCTTCGCTCTGAACACCTAAATCTGACCACTTTTAAACCTTGCTTCCGGCATTCTGACTGGGTCTCCTTCCAAGTTTCTCAAAGAACTTCTGCAGAATAATGAACCCTCTCACGGGTTCTATGCTTTTGTTCCTTGCGCCACCACTGTTGTGGAAAACCCTGCTCCCATCTTTGATAGATTGTGATTTGAGGGGTGTGTTGTTCTTTTTAAAAGCTTCCACAGCTGTGAGTAGTGCGAAATGAGACCCTTTGTCGTTTTCCAGGTCCACCCTTTAAAATAGTTTCATATCTAAGGTTCTGAGCAGTTCATGTACACAGAGATTTGTCATATTAGGTGTGGACGGAACAACTTTCGCTAACACTGGTGTTTCACGTCATCGCTGCCAAGCCTTCACAGAAATCTGGAACCTGAAGGAGGTGATAATCATGTGTTGTTCCCCTGCAGGGGCACTGAGAGCTAAAACAATCTCCCTTTTGAAAAATATATGGTTCTCGTATACTGTATTTTTCGCTCTATAAGACGCACCAGACCACAAGACGCACCTAGTTTTTGGAGGAGGAAAACAAGAAAAAAAATATTCTGAATCTCAGAAGCCAGAACAGCAAGAGGGATTGCTGTGCAGTGAAAGCAGCAATCCTTCTTGCTGTTCTGGCTTCTGGGATAGCTGCGCAGCCTGCATTCGCTCCATAAGACGCACACACATTTCCCCTTACTTTTTAGGAGGGAAAAAGTGAGTCTTGTAGAGCAAAAAATACAGTAGGTCCCGCTCCCAGTATCTGGGAAGCTTAAGAATTTTTTTAAAATTTTTTTTCTTTTTAGTGGGGGGCTCAGGTGAGGCAACATTTGGAACCACCTAGGGGGTGTGCAAACAGGAAATTCCCTCTTTTGGGTTGCACTCCAACTCCTTAGGTACTTTGTGCAAAGTGAAAATGTTTGTGCAGTTGGTAGTACCTAAAAACTGGTTTAGATTAATAAAACTGGAACAGCTTTGTCTAGGGCAGACCACCTGTACCTATGAAAATAACGATTGCAATGTGGTATCTTGTTGATTAGATTGGTTTGCGTCGTTGGAATTTGCAGGCGCTGAGAACCAAAAAAACCAGCTAAGGCAGTCTGATAAATTGAGAGTCATTCAGCTGATATCTCATTTTAACAGATTAATCGATTACTGAAACAGCGTGCTAACTTTTGTCTTATGCAAAATTCCCGGCCAGCCTGAATGAAAGCACGTTTTTTGTCATTCTGAGGCGCACTAACAGCAAAGTTACTTATTAATCCAAGTCTTTTACGTGACTCAGTAGAAAGTGGCCCAATTGTAACGTTTTCAGCAATAAGATAAACCTACATTAACCTGCAAGAGGGGTGACTCTAAACTGTTGCCGTGACCCACAGCCTAATTCAAACCCTTGTTTGTAGAACGGCAAATTTAAAACCATTTTAATCAATAAATGGGTAAGTCTTGCCCGAAATCCTTCTCCCATAGTGGCAAGCTTCCCATCAGTCTTAATGGAGCAGAATTTACCTTTTTTTTTAACCTTACTTGTCTGATTTTGCTGGTGGCGACTTTTATTTGTGGTATGTCACAGAGAATGAAGAAATAATGGTGGTGTTAAGGTTGCCTGTTTGCTCTGATTCTCTCATGTTTCTTTCAGCAATTTCAAAATGTGCCTGTATTGAGCTTCTGGTTTTAGGTGCACCTATTTAAAATTGAGTTTTTGATCAACCCACTAAACGTTTAGAATGGTGTTAAGCCTAAACATCAGCAAGCAGCCCCAATTATTCCCAGTAGTGAGATTTTTATGATTTTCATAATACAATAAAATAGCAAACAGAATAAGTAGAATACAGAGTCCTGTCTTAAAAGTAATTCTTAGTCCTTAGCTCCTCCCAGCCAGGAGCAAATCCAGGAGACCAACATTTCCCTGTCCCTCACCCAGGTTCCTCGATCAACCATCTCCCACCCCCATGAGAATATAATCTCTGGACCTTAATAAAGGTCAGCAAGCAGCCCTAGCTATTTTATTGCATTTTAAAAAATAAATGCAAATGGTTTATTGTATCCTCGGACTCAGCTATACAGCTTCAAATAAAACGTGTGTTGTAAAGAGCGTTACACAAATGTGACACTAGATGGTGACAGTGAGCTATGGCAAAGTCAACATATTTTTCAAAACTTTTTTTTTAAAGCGTTTTCACAACGTTTTTTTTAATATGTGTCTAGATTCCACCCTAGTCAAGTTTTCTCTTTCCTGGCGGTTCTGAATTTCTTCAACCAAACCAAGGATGATTGTGTAATGAGTCGGCTGCCTGGTGTGTTGAAATCTGGATTATTTTATCTCTGCTGCAGAATGAGAAGAAATCGTGAAGCAACTGCTCACGCGTAGGTTCCCCCTTCCCCCTTCTTTTTGATACTGAATTGGTTCATTTGGGTATAAAACCTCTTCACACCCTTTGATAATCTGAACTAAATTTACTATATCAGACAAAGGCACATTCGGCAGATGAGAACTTCCTTTGGGGGGGGGCGTTTCTAGATTTTGGAAGTCCTGAAAGCGTTCCCATTTGTCTGTGCTAAAATTCCTGGTTTACCCTCATCGACCAGCTGCTGGCTTTTCAGTTTTGGTCCACTTTTATCTTGTGTGTACTAATGTTTCCGCTGACTCCCCCCCCCCAATTGCCTGTTTCGATCTCGTTATATAGTTGGGTTATATAACTGGATTTCTTTCTTTTTTTCCTTTTAAAAATATTGAAAATGTTTGCATATATAAATCTTTAAAAATATAAATAACAAGGGGGATCTGCAACAAAATGTTGTGGCATGGAATGGCCCTCTTTAGGGTGTTAGCCAGGCCTGTGTGCCCATCTCCAGGATATTCCGTTCCGTTCCCCGTTCCCACTAGCATTCAATGTTTCAGACAGCTTTGTGTACCAACTGAGCATACTCAACTCTAATTGGGCTGATTGATTATCTATCTATCATCTATCTATCTATCTATCTATCGCTCACCCTTCACTGTAAGCTCCCAGGGCAGCTTACAGCATTAAAAACAAAATTAAAAACAATTGTGGGTGTCTCTCGCCCTTAGTTCCCCTCTCCCTAGTTCTGCAGACATTGGGGTCCCCCAAATCTGTTGCCACCTCTCTTTGGTATATGGATGATGTCATTTTGGGTACATAAAAGATTCCACTGTTTACAGACTCTTCAAACGTGACAAAGAAAAAATAAAAGTGTAAGAAACTGACTATGCTGGGGCAGATCGAAAGTCACCAACCGCAGCTCTGCTGTATGTGTTCCTGGGAAGCTGGCCGTGGCAGAGATGTAACCATTCCCTGCAGTTCGTCCCCAGAAACTAGTCATCAGACAGACAGCCTCTGACGATGGAGGCTCCCTTTCTAGCTAGGTAAAGGTAAAGGAACCCCTGGCCATTAGGTCCAGTCGTGGCCAACTCTGGGGTTGCGGCGCTCATCTCGCTTTATTGGCCGAGGGAGCCGGCGTACAGCTTCCGGTTCATGTGGCCAGCATGACTAAGCCGCTTCTGGCGAACCAGAGCAGTGCACGGAAACGGCGTTCACCTTCCCGCCGGAGCGGTACCTATTTATCTACTTGCACTTTGACATGCTTTCGAACTGCTAGGTTGGCAGGAGCAGGGACCGAGCAACGGGATTCGAACCGCCTGATCGGCAAGCCCTAGGCTCTGTGTTTTAACTCACAGCGCCACCCGCGTCCCTCCTTTCTAGCTACAACTGTTGATAAGCCTTAATCCTTCATGAAATCAGGATGCCTAAAGTTAACCGATCAGCGTCCTTTCTTCTGACAGGCATTTAAAGCACATAAATAAATAAAGCTGGGAATTTTAAAATACTGTACAGTAGGAAGTGTTCTTAATGTGCCGGCGCTGATTTCACCCGGTGAAACCAAATCTTCCTAGAAAGGGAAAAGATTCTGACCCTGTTTGGAGGCATGTTGGATTTGTCCTTTTGCACATTCGTCTTATACAGAGGAGCTTTATCAGGAAGAACAAACGAATGTGTTAGAGGGGGACTAGGAGAGAGGATTGGGCATAGTCGGCCAATCGGTGTTAAAAAAGGACAGAACTTTCTTTATGTATGCTACAACAGCAGCAAGAATACTCATTGCAAAGCATTGGAAGACACAAGATCTACCCACACTGGAGGAATGGCAGATGAAAATGATGGACTACATGGAATTGGCGGAAATGACTGGTAGAATCCGTGACCAGGGAGAAGAGTCGGTGGAAGAAGATTGGAAGAAATTTAAAGACTATTTACAGAAATATTGCAAAATTAATGAATGTTAGAATGATGTTGGATTGAAGTTAAGTGGTTTCTAGCTGTACAGGTACAAAAGAATATGGAAAAATTGGTTTTTAATATGTAAAAATTTAAAGTCATAATATATCAAGATTAAAAATTAGGATTAAAAAGGAGGGAAAGGAATTGTTGGATTAACAAATTTAATTGGAATACAAAAGAGGGAGGTATGAGGAGGTCCGGGAAATAAGTAAACGTAAAAGAAGTGAGGAAAAGATGGAATTGTTTTTAACTGTTTTTTCTTTTTTTTCTACTTTGTATTTTTCCTTTTCATTGTTAATTTTTTTTTTTTACTAATGTGATTTTTTTTCCTTTGAAACTTTAATAAATATTATTTTTTTTAAAAAAAAAAAAAAGGAGAGAGGATTGGAATCATGCGCCCTTACTCTGCCCCACTGTTCTCCATTCACAGGGCTTTAAGTTTCGCCTCCTTGCTTTACAAAACAGCCACCAGCCTGGACGACGTCGGAAAGGGCTACAAACGCAGAAAATGTTTTGGGGACGGGATTGCCTGGCATGTTTTGCAATGACGTCCCCCCTCCATTGCATGGAAAAGTCCTTTTTGAAGCTCATAGGTGGGTTCCAGAGCAGTTTGCAACAGAGGTGTGCCTCTTCCAGCTCTCATGGGGCTTGATCTTAGAGGTGCAATTCTGACACCTAGTCAGGCCTGGATTTAGGTTTGACGAGGCCCTAAGCTACTGAAGGTAATGGGGCCCTTTATATGTCCAGCTGTCCTTTGTCAACAACAAATTGTTGCTGTTCTTTGCGTTGAATATATGCTATATGGTAATTTATGGACCTCACAGGTATCTAAAGCCATTTGCACATGTTGTGATGCAACCGGTCCATGCAGAATGTAGGCACCCTATACAGTAGAACCTCGGCTTTTGCAACTTCAGCTGGCAAAAACAGTAAACCCGGACGTATTTTCCCAGGTTTCGCTGCTCGTGCATGCGCAGAAGCGCTCTACGCGCCACACACATGTGCAGAAGCACTCTATCGCGCCACGTGCATGTGCACAACAGGCACTTCCGGTTGCGGAAACCTCGGGATCCGGACCGGAGCTCTGGAATGGATCCCATCCGCAACCAGAGGTACTACTGTACAGTGGTGCCTCGCAAGACGAAATTAATTCGTTCCGCGAGTTTTGTCGTCTTGCGATTTTTTTCGTCTTGCGAAGCACGGTGTCGGGAAAGTTTTGGAAAAGCTTCAAAAATCACCAAAGTCTTTAAAAACCTCAAAAAAGGCTACCACACCGCGTTCTATGAGTTGCTCCTCGAAGTCAAGTCGCAACTGTGTTAACGGTGTTAAGAAAAAGGAAACAAACTTGCAAGACGTTTCCGTCTTGCGTAGCAAGCCCATAGGGAAAATCGTCTTGCGAAGCAGCTCAAAAAACAAAAAACCCTTTTGCCTAGCGAGTTTTTTGTCTTGCGAGGCATTCGTCTTGCGAGGTACCACTGTATATAGAAATGAGCAAACCTGTGATATTTTAGGGAGCAGGCTAGCAGGCGGTGCCCATTACTTACATCATAGGAGCCTACGCAACACAAAACACTGTTGCTGTATGTAGGTTTTATTTTATTTGTTTTTTAACTTATATTTTGGAAATGTACATCCAGGTTTTTTTTCCTTTAATTTTTTGGGGGGCCCCCAAGAGAGTGGGGCCCTAAGCTATAGCTTGTTTAGCTTATACGTAAATCCGGCACTGCACCCAGCTAGTAACTTCCGCCAGGTGTAAGGCTCCAGCTGAAGTATAAGGCCTGGCAATACAACGTCAGCTGCCCATTATATGTTGCCTTTTGGTGTCATGTAGATTCCAGCTCCTGGGTGCTTGGACCCAGTACAAGAAGTGGTGCTAATGGCAAAGTGACCCAGACTTGGTCACGCCGAATCCCACACCATAAGTGTGGTCTCTCTTGGCAGGGACTCAAATGATCCTGACACCATCAAGTCTCGCTTGGCCCCCCAAGACTAACTTCAGCTGTTCTTAGTTTTCGCTGGATATTGCTCAGTGAGTTTCATCGTCAACTTTTCACGCGTTCAGTTTTTTTTAAAAAAAGGATTTGTGTTTTATTTGTTTATCACGATTATATACAGCCTTTCTGCCAAGACACCCAAGGTGGTTTACAAATTATAAAATACCAAAACAAATAAATCACATAAAATATTGTATATATGTAGATCTGTATCAATTAGCTGCTACTTAAGGTAAAGGTAAAGGTAAAGGGACCCCTGACCATTAGGTCCAGTCGTGGCCAACTCTGGGGTTGCGGCGCTCATCTCGCTTTATTGGCCGGGGGAGCCGGCGTACAGCTTTCGGGTCATGTGGCCAGCATGACTAAGCCGCTTCTGGCAAACCAGAGCAGCACACGGAAACGCCGTTTACCTTCCCACCGGAGTGGTACCTATTTATCTACTTGCACTTTGACGTGCTTTTGAACGGCTAGGTTGGCAGGAGCAGGGACCGAGCAACAGGAGCTCACCCCGTCGCGGGGATTCGAACTGCCGACCTTCGGATTGGCAAATCCTAGGCTCTGTGGTTTAACCCAATCCATCCTTTGCTAATCATCCTGCCTTTTTTAAACTGTAAATCTAGGGGCAGACTTTAAACATCATTATTACTGTGCAATGTGTGGTCCTTATGGCACAGTCTGGGGAAGGGGCCATGGCTCAGGGGCAGAATATGTGCTTTGCATGCAGAAGGTCCCAAATTCAATTCCTGGTATCCCAGGAATGGTATAGTGCTTCTTCTTAAGTTCTTCTGTTCCATGTCACCTGGCTACTTTTAATTACTGCTTTATTTATGATGTGTCTTATTCTATATTTTGTAGATTGCTTAGTGATCTACGATTGGAGACCATTCAGAAATATTGCAAATTATATCTGGAAATGGCCACATGCTCACTGGTAGAGCATCAAGAAGTGCTCAGCCACACCTGCAGGTAGACATCCCTACCTGAAACCCACAGAGAGCTGCTACCAGTCAGTGTAGGCAATACTGAACTAGATGGGCCTATCCTCTGCCTCGGGATCAGGCAGGTTTGTTTTTCCTTTTTGTTCTGACTGGCCGTATGCTGGAATAAGTGGACCTCGGATCTGATCTTTGGGAAGCCTGCAAACAGAACCTAAGCACTACAAGTTTTTCTCTGTCATAAAAAACATCGTAACATTTACATATATATATCTATGTAGTAGTAGTAGTATTAAATTTATATACTACCCTTCGTGTGTGTGTGTGTGTGTGTGTGTGTGTGTGTGTCTATAGGATGTGTGGATCCAGAATTGACCTCCACAGTCACTTATGGACTCACTGTTAAGACCGTGTTCATGGAAGACAATCTTACTCGTCTACGATTAATCGCCAAAGACAGACATAGGCAAACTCAACTCCCCGATGTTTTGGGACTACAACTCCCATCATCCCTAGCTAACAAGACCAGTGGTCAGGGTTGATGGGAGTTGTAGTCCCAAAACATCTGGAGGGCCAAGTTTGACTATGCCTGGCCAAAGAAGATCTCTCTCTCTCTCTCTCTCTCTCTCTCTCTCTCTCTCCACACACATATAGTTTGAGCTATCTCTATCTCTCTACTCCACATATAGTTTGAGCTATCGTTATGCTACCAACGTTGTGATGGAAATCTTATCAAATAAATAAAGAGGCGTCATCAAGCGACAAGGGCGTGAGCAACCACCAGTTGCCGCCCAGGTTTGCCAAGGGCACACAGTAAGCCTGCCCTGATTTGCAGTGTTGGGTAGAAGGACTTGCTATCATCAGACGTCAAAGAAATAAACAACTATCGGACTTTTAGAAGACATCCGAAGGCAGCCCTGTTTAGGGAAGCTTTTAATATTTGAAGAATCATTGTATTTTAATATTCTGCTGGAAGCCACCCACAGTGCCTGGGGAAACCCAGCCAGATGGGTAGGGTAGAAATAATAAATTATTATTATTATTATTATTATTATTATTATTATTATTACTATTATTATGCTGGCTGGGGCTGATGGGGCTGATGTCCTGATAAGAACATCAGAAGTGCTGGATCCGGCCAATGGCCCATTTAGTCCAGCATTCTGTTCTCACAGTGGCCAACCAGATTCCTGTAGAAAACTCCAAGCAGGCTCCAATCTCAAGAGCCCCTCTCCCCTCTCATGGTTTCCAGAAGCTGGTACAGTGGTACTTCAGGTTAAGTACTTAATTCATTCTGGAGGTCCGTTCTTAACCTGAAACTGTTCTTAACCTGAAGCACCACTTTCGCTACTGGGGCCTCCTGCTGCTGCCGTGCCGCCAGAGCCCGATTTCTGCTCTCATCCTGAAGCAAAGTTATTAACCTGAGGTACTATTTCTGACTTAGTGGAGTCTGTAACCTGAAGCGTATGTAACCCGAGGTACCACTGTATTCAGAAGCTTGGCTGCCTCCAGCCGTTCCGGCCGAGCATAGCCGTCACTGTAGTCCAGAACATCTTGGGGGCACCAGGTTGGGGAAGGCTGCTATAGAGGCCCGCCTGCTGCCTGCCTTAATGCATTTTAAAGAATCTATTTATTTTTCCACAGGCTTTTAAAAGACAATGATTTCCTAGCCTGTGTTATGCTTAACGTCGGGGCTGTTTTATTCTCTGACATTTTTCCAGAGTCGCATGAACTGCTGCTTGCGAAACATTATTATTATTATTACAGTGGTACCTCGGGTTAAGTACTTTCGGAGGTCCGTTCTTAACCTGAAACTGTTCTTAACCTGAAGCACCACTTTAGCTAATGGGGCCTCCTGCTGCTGCTGCGCCGCTGGAGCCCAATTTCTGTTCTCATCCTGAAGCAAAGTTCTTAACCTGAAGCACTATTTCTGGGTTAGCGGAGTCTGTAACCAGAAGTGTATGTAACCTGAAGCGTATGTAACCTGAGGTACCACTGTATTATTATTATTATTATTAAGCTTTCGTTGGTTATACCTTGATTGTTTCAGTGATGGTTTATAACACGGTGCTGTTGCTGATGTTAAAATATCGGGTAACGTCGCACAGAGAATTGCACTTGTCGGGAGACTGGTAGATAGGGGGAATAAAATAAATAATGACCCTTGGCAACCCGTGCGTAAGAGGCAGAGCTTAGCACCCGGCGGAAGCGACGTGGCCCTAATAATTTTCCATTGCTTAGGTTACTGTGTGCGCTGATTGTATTGCCGGCTTGGATTCAAGCCAAAGGTCCGTGTAGCCTGCCATTTTGGAGACTCGATGCCTCTGAGTGGCCAAGCAGACGTCATCCCAGAGACGCTCACCTACCCTTCTCACTATTCCTCAAGGATTGGCTTTTAGCGGCACGACAGGGCTTCCATTTTAGATCTCATCATGGTGACCACAGTTTATCTGCCCCTGAGGAAATTTATCTAATCTTTCTGCAGAACTATTGATAGGATTGCCTATGACTGCATCCTCTTTTGGGTAGTTCCACAAGTTAAGTACGAGTCATGTGAAGTGTTTCATTTTGTTAAGCCAATCTTCGTGAGGCCCTCAGTTCTAGAGAGACGCACAGATTTATTTTTTTATCTCAAGTTGATTTCCACTGTGTTCCTTGAGGGTTACTCCTAAGCAAGTGCCCATTGAATTGGGACCTTAGGCTTTTAAAAAAGAGACTTCTGTCTGAGTACATTATGCACAGAATGATATAATTAATAATAATAATAATAATAATATTTATACCCCCGTCCATCTGGCTGGGTTTTCCTAGCCACTCTAGGCGGCTCCCAACCGAATATTAAAAACACAATACAGCATTAAACATTAAAAACTTCCCCAAAACAGGGCTGCCTTCAGATGTCTTCTAAAATTAAGTTACAGGTCTGCCATAGTTGAAACAAAATAAAAAAAATCAATAGGAAGGATTTTTTTTTATTTTGTTTCAAAAGTAAGATAGTTGTTTACTTCCTTTACATCTGAAGGGAGGGTTTTCCACAGGGCGGGCGCCACTACCGAGAAGGCCCTCTGCCTGGTTCCCTGTAACCTCACTTCTCGCAGGGAGGGAACCGCCAGAAAGCCCTCGGACCTCAGTGTCTGGGCTGAACGATGGGGGTGGAGACGCTCCTTCAGGTATACTGGGCCGAGGCCATTTAAGGCTTTAAAGCTCAGCACCAACACTTTGAATTGTGCTCGGAAACATACTGGGAGCCAATGTAGGTCTTTCAGGACTGGTGTTATATGGTCTCGGCGGCCGCTCCCAGTCCCCACCCAGTCTAGCTGCCAGAATGAGTGTCTTTTGGAGCAATTTTGGCCAATTTTGGCCCGTGCATTGTTGAGAGAGCGCAAGGAACTACAGTGGTACCTCAGGTTGCATACGCTTCAGGTTACAGACTCCGCTAACCCAGAAATAGTACCTTGGGTTAAGAACTTTGCTTCAGGATGAGAACAGAAATTGTGCTCCGGCGGCACGGCGGCAGCAGGAGGCCCCATTAGCTAAAGTGGTGCTTCAGGTTAAGAACAGTTTCAGGTTAAGTACGGACCTCTGGAACAAATTAAGTACTTAACCCGAGGTACCACTGTAAGTGGACCACATAGCATCAGTAGACAGGGGAGAAAGCAAAAAAGGCACGTTCGGGCGACAGAGGGCTATGCACTGCTTTTACTCCCAAACACAGGGTGTTATATATATATTTTAGGGGTGGGGGACGGACACAGGTATTGTCCCTGCCTAGAATTACAACAGGAAGCAGCTATTGCCCAAAGTGCATGGGCAACAGAGCTCAGGATTTGAAGTGCTGGCAAGCTCCTGCTAAACCCAAACCATAGGACCTGTGTTGGCATTGAAGAAACCCAGCCAATCCCCTCCATAAGGGCCACCTTGTGCCCCCTTTGGAGGCAGAGGGGGAATTAAAGCTCAGCAGTATAGATCGCATCTGGGAAAAACTCCTTCCTGAGACCCTGGGAGCTGATGTCAGGCAGCGCAGAGTAGGCAACATGCAGCCATTTTAGAAACTGGCGCCGCGACCTAGCCGACACCTGGTCGGAGGCGAGGGGCTGAGGAGCAACGTGTTGGGATTATAAGCTTCTTTGCTCAGTAATTAAATTTAATTAAAAACGAAAGAAATATGACACTGGGTTTTCTTTTTCTCCCACCTCCAAGACCCTGCAATCGCAGTTTTAATTTATATTGCTGCAACAGCAGGGAGGCGAGGGAGGAAGCACGGAATATGGAATCGACGGCAAAGTTTTCCAACCGCAAGAAAGGTGGCTTTGAGATAGGCATTTGCAGGAGCGGCAGGAGAAAATGGCTCTTTTTGGGATACGGGACCAAGACGATATTGGTACACGCTGCGTCGGCTTAAGAGAAAGCTGGTGTTTTGAAAGACCCAGCTCCCGTTTTTGGAATGTAAAGTACTAAGGCTGCCTGGGCCCTTGGGTGCTGCGATTGACCTGGTTGGAGGCTTCCTTTAGAAAACTTTACAGACTGTAACCATAAAACGACGGCCATAAAAACGGCGAGGTAAACACCCATGGGGGTTGGAGACGTCATTTGGCCCATAATCAGAGGTTGTAAATAAACGGTTGGATGCCAGGTGGTAAGAACAGAGCTGGCTGACCCATGGCTTCCGTGCCCTTCCAGTGGCCCCTGGGGTAGAGCCATGGGGACGCCGTGGCAGACCACATGCCTTGCATGCAGAAGGTTCAATCCCCAATCTCTGGGAAGGATTCGCTGTCTGAAACCTTGGAGAGGCACAGCCAGTCCTCTGAGCTGGACAGGCCCATGCATAGACCGCAGCAAGCTTTTGTTTCATTTTAACTGGCCATAGCTAGGCCAGAACTCTGGAATAATTGGGTCCGATCTAGGAAGGCAGTTCTTAACATCCCTAGGAACACGAGAAGAACCTTCTGGGTCACACTGGTGGTGGTCCAGCAGACTGTTTTCAGAGTGACCCACCATATCCCACAAGCAGGACTTGGGTGCGAAACCTACTCTCCCCACTTGGGGTTTCCCAGAAACTGGTATTATTTGGAAGTTTTACTGCCCCCAACAATGGAAATAGAACGTAGCTACTAGTAGCTCCATGGATAGTCTTACGCTCCATGGATTTGCCTAATCCTGTTTTAGTGCCATGCAATCTGGGGTCCACCACTGCCTTTTCTGAGAGCGAATTCTACATGTTACTGAATTCCACCAGGTTGAACTGCCGAACTAAATTATACCGCCTGCTATTTTTCCTTCCTTTTAAGTTGTCGACAGGTAGAATACTCCGTTTCTGCCTGCCTAGTAGCGATGCCCGGGACGGTTCCTTATAACAACAGGAGTTTTGAGTTGCGTGTTCTGATAAAGGAAGTATATAGCCCAACACCCTGGAAGCACACAAGAGAGTTCCCAAGATTGCAGTACTGCCGGGTCTCACAATTAACATTATATCTCATTCATGTCCTAAATAGAGCAGTCACAGTTGCTTCTTTTAAACCCTACTCCTTAAAAAAAAAAAAAAGGCATCTATTCCCAAGTTATTCCCAAGTTATTCCCAAGTTGTTGGGGGTTTTTTGCGCTATTTGGCACCTACCTCCGTGGGTTCGTTGTAGTATGAAGTCCATTCGGAAATGTCGTGCGATTCCATCTTGACAGACCCCAGCATTCCAAAATCCCAGTAAGAAAGGGGGGAAAGGGAATCTTGCGAGCGCACACTAATTATTATTTTTTTTAAATCCTGGAATTGCTTTCTTTGCAGGGTTTAGTTATTACTATTCTTTGTCTTCTCAAAAAAAAATTATAGGTTCTTTCTGAAATCCACCCACCAAAGAGAGCGGCGACTGAGTCTGCTGCCAAATTAACTGTCCGCCTTCTCCTTTCGCCTCCCCTGAAAATGCACAAGGGGACTTTGGGAGCAGAGGTAAAGGAATCAACAGGCTTCCATGGCGTAGGGCAAAGTGAGACGATCCCTCCAATATTGGGGCATCAAGCCCGTTGCTTCCTCCCGCGGGATGTTTCCGTGACACGCTTGCTGACCGCTGCCGTGTAGACCTGAACTGCTGCGTGTCCTCAGCTTGTCTCCAAGTAGATGAAGGGCTGTCCCTCTGGACAGAACCAAGTCTTTATAAAGCCAGGCATTTGCTCCCAATACTCCACCCGCTGGATGGCAATCAGAGTGTTGTTACCTGAGGTTTATCCCAGCCGGCCGGGCCAGGTTACCTCTGCCACCTTGTGGAAGAGAGGAGTTCGGCAAGAAAGCTGGCCACCAAGTGGGTATCACACGGCAGAGGCTCCTGTGGGTTAAATTACACTCAGCCTGCCTGGACAGGGATGGCTGAGGTTGGCGACTGAGGCCTGGGCAGTAAGACAGGCAAAGGGCACAGTTCGCACCCACATCTGTCAGAAGCAGAGGGAGAACATTTGCAGTTTGTACGCTCTGCTGTTGGCAAGTTAAGAGGGCTCGCTGGGTCTCTTGTCAGTTCCTTTCCCCAGTCTTGGAGCTGGTATGTTCAAGGGAAACTTTGCGTTTTTGTTTTGAGTGGTGAGGGGATTCAGGTTGCCAACTTTAAACTGGGCCTTGCAGCTGTTCCTTAAGCAGTAGTTCTGTGTACAGGGAAAATATTTGCCTCTGTAGCGTGAAGAGCTTCTAAATACCTGCAACGTGGCCAGTGTTAAAAACACGAGGTTTCCCGGGATCGGTCGGCAATCCAATAATAATAATAATAATAATAATAATAATAATAATATATTATTTATACCCCGCCCATCTGGCTGGGCCTCCCCAGCAACTATGGGCGGTTTCCAACAAAATATTAAAATACAGTAACGCATCAAACATTAAAAGCCCTATACTGGGCTGCCTTCAGATGTCTTCTAAGAGTCTGGTAGTTGTTCTTCTCTTTGACATCTGGTGGGAGGGCGTTCCACAGGGTGGGTGCCACCACCGAGAAGGCCCTCTGCCTGGTTCCCTGTAACTTGGCTTCTCGCAGTGAGGGAACCGCCAGAAGACCCTCAGCGCTGGACCTCAGTGTCTGGGTAGAACGATGGAGGTGGAGACACTCCTACAGATATACTGGACCAAGGCCGTTTAGGGCTTTAAATGTCAGCACCAACACTTTGAATTGTGCTCAGAAACGTACTGGGAGCCAATGTTGGACGTTCAAGACCAGTGTTATATGGTCTCAGTGGCCACTCCCAGTCACCAGTCTAGCTACTGCATTCTGGATTAGTTGTAGTTTCCGAGTCACCTTCAAAGGTAGCCCCACATAGAGCGCGTTGCAGTAGTCCAAGCGGGAGATAACCAGAGCGTGCACCACTCTGGTGAGGCAGTCCGCAGGCAGGGAGGGTCTTAGCCTGCGCACCAGATGGAGCTGGTCAACAGCTACCCTGGACACAGATTTGACCTGTGCCTCCATGGACAGCCGTGAGTCCATGGACAGCTGCGCCATAAAAGAGTTTCTCCCTCCTTGATTTTTTGGCGGAACCACATGCGATTATTTCTCATGGGCAGCTACATTTCTGGCCTATTCCAACAAGAAAGAAAAGTGGGAGGCATTTAAAAAAAGCCAGGGTGGCTGCGTAAGGAGCTTACAGGTGAGCTGGTACTTAAGAAGGGCACGTATAAGAAATGGAAGAAAGGGGAAATCGCAAAGAAAGAGTATACATGAGTAGGCTACAGCTGCAGGGAGAAGGTCAGACAGGCCAAAGCTCAGAATGAGCTCAGGTTTGTTAGAGAGGTTGGAAATAAGGTTTATTTGGCTCTGTTCGAAGCAAGAGGAAGAACATGCAAGTAGTAGATGCTCTGTGGAGAAGAAGGAGAATTGCTATTAGGTGATAAAGAGAAGGCGGGACTGCTCAACACCTACTTTGCCTCTCCCTCCACTCTGGTAATGACAGAATAAATGATGCAAGGAGGGAGATGCAGGCCAAGACTGGTTGGGACTGAACCTGGGAGCTTCCTCATACAAAGCCATCGCTCTGCCACTGAGCTACAGTCCTGCCCCACTCCCAGCTCACTCGGGTACCCTTTACCATGAGGGGACGCAGGTGGCGCTGTGGGTTAAACCACAGAGCCTAGGACTTGCTGATCAGAAGGTCGGCGGTTCGAATCCCCGCGACGGGGTGAGCTCCCGTTGCTCGGTCCCTGCTCCTGCCAACCTAGCAGTTCGAAAGGACGTCCAAGTGCAATACGCCGACTCCCTCGGCCAATAAAGCGAGATGAGCACTGCAACCCCAGAGTCGGTCATGACTGGACCTAATGGTCAGGGGTCCCTTTACCTTTACCTATAAGTAGGATAGCTGCACAGAGTTCAGGAGACAAGCAGGCTGTGTGTCTGGTCGAGGTGTTACTGGGCAAGGGCCGGGCTGACCTGTCAGGCAATGGATGTGTTTGTGTGAAGGGAGGAGTCGGTCATGTAATGACTCCTGTATCCAGCAGCGATCTGGACACAGAGGCTGCAGGGACACCTGATTGAGTTGTTTGTGTGTTTGTTTTTAGAGCACAATTTTTATTAATTTAAAAAGGCTTTTTGTACAGTTCCATGCAGTAGCTTCAGTACAGGTGTACAGCAACAGACAATGTCATAAAGAACAAAGTTTAGTCAGTTAAAGGGAAAGATTTCAGGGGAGGGTTGTGTTTTTGTTGTTTTTGCAAGAGTAAGAAGAAAGCAAGATGAACTAGGGAATGTATCAAGTTGTTTAAATCACAGCTCTCCAGAGCTTTTGCTTTAGTTTAAACAAAACTTAGGCAACCATACATTGTGACATTGTTACGGGAAATAAGGGGAAACACTGGAAAACCCACTTGTTGAGAATTCTGACTGGAACCGATTGATTGAGTTGATGGACCTGTTGCGTTTATCTCTCAGCTTTCTTCCACGGAGCGTAAGATGCCGTCCTTGTCTTCCCCCATGTTATCCTCGCAACAATGCTGTGAGGGAGGTTAGGCTGAGAGTGAGCCTGGTGTCGTGGTTAGAGCAGAGGTTTCCAAATGGTGTGTCGTGACACATTTGTGTGTCGCAGGTGTGTTGCGTGAACGCTCCCCATACTCCTCCCAGGGCTGGAAAGTTTAACATCCGGTTTGCTGGTAAAACTGAGTTACTGTGTCGTGAAATGATTCGTGTCTAAAAAGTGTGCCATCAACCTGAAATGGTGGGAAAGCTCTGGGTTAGAGTGTCAGACTAGGACCTGGGAGATGATATCCAAAAGATCAAGGGGCATATGCAGCTACAAGTCCACATGTGCGGAGGAGCCCAGTTTCCCCACGAAAAACACCCCAAAACTATTGCTAGCCTTATGTCCATCGACAACAAGAACTGATCTTGTAAATGCAAGCTAAGCATTTGGGGAAATTCCGGCTCATCATGACTTGGGCCCTGGGCCTTCATTGATATCCCAGGCCACTTCTCTCTCACCCCTAAAAACCCAGCTCAAAACCCATATCTCAGCCTTCACCTGAACTAGACATCTATTAACGACCATACAAAGTCATCCCATACAGAGGTGAGCCATTGGCCAAACAGGCTGGTATTGTCTACTCTGTGACTGCTGGTAGCTCCAAGAGGCCACAACTGGAGGTCTTTTCCAGATCTGATAACTGAAATCCTTTAACTGGGGTGGTGTTTGGGTTCTTTTGGATGTGAAAACTTTGGCTCCCTCTCAAGATTCCATAGAGCCTGAATTGCATGCAAATCTGCATTTGCTTGCATTAATCCCTTCCTTCCATTTTCCTTTTCTACTGACCCCCTGTTCTCTTTCTCCCACCCCTGTCTAAATTTAGATTGTAAGTTCCTTGTGGCAGGGACTTGACTTTTGCCTTTGGTACCCTGTAATGCTCCATATCAGATGGTGACAGCAGCCATGAAATTAAAAGACGCCTGCTTCTTGGGAGAAAAGCAATGACAAACCTAGACAGCATCCTAAAAAGCAGAGACATCACCTTGCCAACAAAGGTCCGTATAGTTAAAGCTATGGTTTTCCCAGTAGTGATGTATGGAAGTGAGAGCTGAACCATAAAGAAGGCTGATCGCCAAAGAATGGATGCTTTTGAATTATGGTGCTGGAGGAGATTCTTGAGAGTCCCATGGACTGCAAGAAGATCAAACATGTCCATTCTTCAGGAAATCAGCCCTGAGTGCTCACTGGAAGGACAGATCCTGAAGCTGAGGCTCCAATACTTTGGCCACCTCATGAGAAGAGAAGACTCCCTGGAAAAGGCCCTGATGTTGGGAGAGCTGGAGGGCACAAGGAGAAGGGGACGACAGAGGACGAGATGGCTGGGCAGTGTTCTGGAAGCTACCAGCATGAGTCTGACCAAACTGCGGGAGGCAGTGGAAGACAGGAGTGCCTGGCGTGCTCTGGTCCAGGGGGTCACGAAGAGTCGGACACGGCTAAACGATTAAACAAGGCTCCATATACACCCATGAAACTGGCTGGTTAGTTCACAGTATGTGAAATTCCGCTTTCAGTAGGTGGAATTCTGCTTCAATCCCTTTGTTCATTCAACTTTTTATTTATTTGTTATTGTTTTTATTAAAGATTTTATTGGGTTACAAAAGCACATAGATCGTCTCATTTTCAGATCATGAAATCCTTCCTGCAGATCAGCTTGTAATTGATGTGAGACTTTAACGTCTCGCATTACAGCCATTGTTATCTGTGATTGTTGCTGTCATATTATCATGGAGGAGCCGAATGATGTTCAAAGAAGAACAGTCACAGCGTAAGGTTGGGGGAGAAGAGAGGATTCACCTTCCTTTTCCTTCTTAAAGTGGATGAGCTCTTTAATCTACTTTAAATATTCAAATCACTTCTGGTATGCATGTGTTAATTGGCTTATCCATGCCAGAATGTCTGTGTTATCATCAACTGCTTTTTTGTGTGAATGGCAGTGCTCAGGGACGGGATTATCACACCCCACTTTTCTGCATTTTGCTTCCTCCTGATTTCCTCATAAAGAATTGTTTTGCTGGATCAGGCCTGTGATCAATCTAATCCAGCATCCTGTTTTCACAGTGGGCAACCAAATTCCTGTAGGAACCCAGCAAGCAGGATTTGAACACAGGAGCAACTCTCCCCTCCTGTGGTTTCCAACAACTGGGATTCAAAAGCGTTGCTGCCTCCATTTGCAGAGACTGAGCGGCCATCATTGGGGTTCGAAGCCACCCATAGCCCTCTCCTCCCTGAATTTCCCCGGTCCTGTTTTAAAACCAAGGACACTTGGGTCTGGTTTTCCTGTGTGCCTGATTAAGATCAGCTCATTTTTAGCCTTTTCATCTTTCTTTTCATAGATGGCCTCAGGTGGCCTCAGTAGCCCGGAGTGCCTTCCATCAGCTTCGGCTGGTGGCCCAGCTACGCCCCTATCTGGACAGGGACAGCCTAACTACTGTTGTCTATGCTCTGGTAACCTCCAGGTTAGATTACTGCAATGTGTTACACATAGGGCTGCCTCTGAAGACGGTTCAGAAACTTCAGTTGGTGCAGAATTCAGCGGCCAGGTTGCTCACCGGAGCAAGACGGTTTGAACATACGACGCCAATCCTCGTCCGACTGCACTGGCTGCCAATTAGTTTCCGGGCCCAATTCAAAGTGCTGGTTTTGACCTATAAAGCCTTAAAGGGGTGATATGATAGCCATGTTCAAATATATAAAAGGATGTCACATAGAGGAGGGAGAAAGGTTGTTTTCTGCTGCTCCAGAGAAGCGGACACGGAGCAATGGATCCAAACTACAAGAAAGAAGATTCCACCTAAACATTAGGAAGAACTTCCTGACAGTAAGAGCTGTTTGACAGTGGAATTTGCTGCCAAGGAGTGTGGTGGAGTCTCCTTCTTTGGAGGTCTTTAAGCAGAGGCTTGACAACCATATGTCAGGAGTGCTCTGATGGTGTTTCCTGCTTGGCAGGGGGTTGGACTCGATGGCCCTTGTGGTCTCTTTTAACTCTGATCGGCAAGTCCTAGGCTCTCTGGTTTAACCCACAGCGCCACCCGCATCCCAGTTATATGGAGCCTTACAGGGTACCAAAGGCTAAAGTCAAGTCCCTGCCACAACTTACAATCTAAATTTAGACAGGGGTGGGAGAAAGAGAACAGGGGGTCAGTAGAAAAGGAAAATGGAACGAAGAGATTAATGCAACCTTAACCTCCTCTTCTCCAGGCTAAACATGCCCAGCTCCCTTAGCCGTTCCTCATAAGGCATCGTTTCCAGGCCTTTGACCATTTTGGTTGCCCTCCTCTGGACACGTTCCAGTTTGTCAGTGTCCTTCTTGAACTGTGGTGCCCAGAACTGGACACAGTACTCCAGGTGAGGTCTGACCAGAGCAGAATACAGTGGCACTATTACTTCCCTTGATTACTTCCCTCAGGTTAAGAATGGTTTCAGGTTAAGAATGGTTTCAGGTTAAGAATGGACCTCCAGAACGAATTAAGTTCGTAACCAGAAGTACCACTGTACTACCAATCCTACCGCATGCTTGTGAAACATGGACCACTTATAAACACCATCTCCAACTCCTCAAAAGACTCCATCAACGGTGTCTCTGAAAAATTTTACACATCACTTGGGAAGACAGGTGAACTAATACTAGTGTACTGGGAGAAAAAAAGATCACCGGTGTGTCTTCAACATCAACTTCGTTGGATTGGTCATGTTGTGTGGATGCCTGATTATCATCTTCAAAAGCAAATACTCTATTCCGAACTTAAAAATGGAAAGTGTAATGCTGGTGGTCAGCAAAAGAGCTTTAAAGACTATCTCAAGGCAAATCTAAGAAAATGTAGTATAAACTCCAACAACTGGGAAACACTGGTCCAGTTGGAGAACAGCCTTTACCAAAGGTAAAGCCTTTGCCAAAGGCGTCATGGACTTTGAAGACACTCAAACTCAGGACGCAAGGGAGAAACGTGCTAATAGGAAGGCTCGCTTAGCAAACCCTCACTATGATCAACTCCCGCCCGGAAACCTACGTCCCCACCATGGAAGGACGTGTGGATCCAGAATCGGCCTCCACAGTCTTATGGACTCCCTGTTAAAACCGTGTTTATGGAAGACAATCTTACTTGGCTATACAGTGGTGCCTCGCAAGACGAAATTAATCCGTTCCGCGAGTCTCTTCGTCTAGCAGTTTCTTCGTCTTGCGAAGCAACCCTATTAGCGGATTAGCGCTATTAGCGGTTTAGCGGCTATTAAAGGCTTAGCGGCTTAGCGGCTAAAAGGCTATTAGCGGCTTAGCGGCTTAGTAAAAGGGGGGGGAAAGCGAAAAAAATCTCAAGACTTGCAAGACATTTTCGTCTTGCGAAGCAAGCCCAAAGGGAAATTCGTCCTGTGAAGCGCATCAAAAAACGGAAAACCCTTTCGTCTAGCGGGTTTTTCGTCTTGCGAGGCATTCGTCTTGCGGGGCACCACTGTAAGTGATTGCCAAAGAAATAAATAAAAGTAGGTGTGTCGCAGAAATTCTCCATTTGTCCTGGTGCTTGAGTTGACCTTTTTGGTCCATCAGCTGTTTTCGGACTACAATTCCCATCACCCCTGACCACTGGTCTTGCTAGCTAGGGATGATGGGAATTGTAGTCCCAAACATCTGGAGGGCCGGAGTTTGCCTATGCATGGCTTAAACAGTCACCCTTAACCAACTACAGCTCCCAGAATCCTTTGGAAGAAGCCATGACTGCTTAAAGTGGTATGATACTGCTTTAAAGTCTATAGTGCAGACGGGACCTTTGGATTATTATATTTTAGCAGAATACGCTGCCAACACACACAGTATGTGAAATAACCAAGAACGGTGGTAGTAGTAAATGGGAAAAAAAAGATAATCAAGTTTATTGACAGAGACGAGTAAAAGAAATACAAATAAAAAACAAATTTTAACATTCTCTCTTCCCCCTCCCCGCGGTCTTAAATGTGGGAATCCAAACTGCCCCTGTCCTCTCTGCTTCTCCCCCCCCAAAAAAAAATCATGATTGCAACACACATACAAGGTTGGCAGAACCATCTGCCCATGAATGAAACTGATATAAAACCAGTTAGCTTCACGGCACCTTAAGTCATATACCGGTGGGTGCTGGCCAACCCTCCCATGAAAACTCACGGATGTAGGACCACCTTTCTATGGAACACAGACCCCCATAATCTGCTCAGGAGAATACTGCCCAGTCTCTGCAATGTTTTAATCTTAGTTGGGGCTAGGAATTAAAATCCAAACAGGTGTGTGTGTCACTCTGTCACTTTGCCAATTCAGGGATCTCTCCTGAGCGGCCTTTAAAAAAAAATGCTCTTTTTTATTTTTGGTGTGCATGCTTAAAATCTTTTGGTATGAAAAAATACCCTCCGCCCTCTCCAGCAACAACAAAAAAAATCTACACAAGAGGCACTTCTTCCATTTCCATCTCTCCCGATCACCCCCTAATTTTCTAGACCACCTCCCCACACCCTGCCACCCCCCCAATATATGATTCCCACATTGCTTTCCTGCCTCCCGCCTGCCCGCCCTGTTCCTGCCCAGAATGAGACAAGTGTCCAAACTGGTTAGTTACAGAAATCTGGGACTCTATGTAAAACTGCACGGATTTAGAAACTGTCCTATATACACAATGTCCGGGGAGGAGGGGCGCTGGAAGAAACAGATGAGCTGGTGGAGATACTTGTGGGTGGGATGGGGTGGGAATGGGGCACAGCACCCAGGATTAAAGGACGCCCACAAAGATTTCAGGGTCGCAAGGCCGTTTGGTCCGGGAGCGAGAGGAAGAGCAGGCTATCCACCAGAGGGGAACGTGTTTCAGTGGAGATCTGTTGTGTGTGTGTGTTGGCTGGGACACTTGGACTTCTACAAACCCATCTTCACACCTATCCAGGCATGGGCTAAAGACCCTGGCTTGGGGCTTGATTCCAGAGGGCTCAATGCTGCCTACACGGACTGGCAGTGCTTCTCTGCTGTCAGGGATTGAAGCTGGTGAGCTACGGCCCTTCCCGAAGGATTGCCCTTCCATGCAATCGAAATGCCCCCTCCGTGTTTTACAAACAGCCTCTCTCTGAAGACCAAGTCCGGGGCCTAAGGCTCTCGCCTTCATGCCCTGCTTGTGAATTTCCCAGAAGCCTCTGGTGGACAGCAACAAGGTGCTAGGCTAAGTGGACCATTGGCCTGAGAGTCTGGTGGCAATTCCTAGGTGCTCCAGCAATAACCGGGCAGCACAGATTCGCTCATAAGGCGGGAGATGGCGCAGGCGCCCACTAGGCGCATGCCTAGCTCCCATGCCGCCTCCTTAGCTGACAACCACACAGCCACATGCCTGAAAATTGGGTTCAGCCCTTTGCGGTGTGGCTGCTCAGAGTCCTGCCTCTCTCCCTGCCCCCCCCGACTGCTCTGAACTCGCACTCACCTCCTAGCGGCTGGGGAAGTCCCTGAAACACATTAACAACGAGATCCCAACTGCTGTGCGATTTGCCCCACCCCTTTCGAAGACACCCCGATTCCGACGCCGCCATATTCTTTCCCCCTGCCCTCCCGTTTAAAGAGACCCCCGCCTCCCCGCAAATCAACACCCACCCCGCCCTTCCCAGACCCTCGTAGTAGGTTACATAGATGTGGCTTCATATATAAGCTTGCTATGGAAATATTATTTAAAAAATAGATTTATGTACAATGATCGCCCCAGTCCACGGCTGGCTGAAGAGGGTGTCAGGCGGGGAATAAGTTACTAATTCCAGTCACTGCCACGGCGGGTGGGAGAGGGTTTCGAAGGGTGCGCAGGCATCCCACGACCCAGCGGCTGCCCCCCTCCCTATTCAGGGATCACGCTCCTTTTTTACTTTAACGTCTCCGGCTAAGATGGTGGCGATCTCCCCCTGCATGAAGGCCCAGGGGACGTTGGAGCCCACCAGGGGGCACTTCTCGCCGCTGGGGCAATACACCTCTCCCGCGGCTCCCTGGGCTTTAATGAAATCCCGGGAGCAAGGGAAACAGAACTTGTGCCCGGGCACCGAGGGGCACTGGACAAAGTGGGTATCCTCCAGGCGCTCGTGGCAGATGGTGCAACACAGAGGGGCGCTGCTGGCAGCCCCCGAGGAATCGGGGGCGCTCTGCGTACCGCTGGGCTCAACTCCCCCAGAAGAGTGGGCCCCGGAGGAGGAAGAGGAGGAGGTGGTGGTCGCTGGACCCGGCTCGCCGTTTCGCGGGACCAGGCGGTGTTGCCCTGAGGCGGCGGGCGACGCTGGGCTGGCGCTGTTTTGCCGGGCGGTGGTGGAGTGGACCGGGTTGGCTTCCTTGGTCCCCAGGGTGTCGGCCACGTTCTTGAGGGCCGTGATGGGCGAGGGGTCGTTCCGCAAGGAGCCTTCGGGCAAGGGCCCCTGGCCGGCTGAGGCAGGCAGGTGGGCCATGCCCGTTGGATACAGGCCGCCCGACCCCTGGGGCAGCCAGTGCTGCCTCTGCTGTTGCTCCTCACCGGTCAGCTTGCCGGCCAGCTCCCCCTCGGGCTCGGGAGAGGCCTTGCGCCTCCTCATGACGGCCCGCGACGGGGGCACGGCCCTCAGCAACAGACTGGGCGGCATGGCGCAGTTGCCGTCCAGGAACTGCTGGGGCAGGGCGTCGTGCGCCGGGGCCTCTCGGAAAAAGCGCACGCCTTCGGTGAAGAGCTCCCCGAGGAGGCGCCAGTCTCCGGTGCCGTGGCGCTTCTCGTACTCCAGGTACTTGTATCCGGACGAGATGACCTTGCCCGGGTCCTTGAGGCAGTCCTGGAACATCTGCTTGGCCACTCCGAGGACCCCAGCGTAGACGCTGCCCGAGCCGCACGGGTACTCTGTGAACAGCTTCATTTCGTACTCATAGCCAGGCCGGGGCGCGGCGTCGAAGGCGAAGATCCTCCCCACCAGCGCGTGGTCCTTCTTGAAGCGCACGTTGAAGGGTGCGCAGCCGTACAGCGCCAGCAGCTGCTCACGCACCGCCTTGGGCTTGCCGTGCCACTCCTCGGCCCGCCCGCGCATGGCTTCGTTCAGCTCAGCCAGGCACTCGGCGTTGCGCTGCTTCTCCTTCTCGTAGTCCGCGTAGGCCGCCCTCGCCGGCTTGGCCAGCTCTCCCAGGATGGGCGACGCCATGGCCAGAGAGGCCGGCCGGCCCCCCAGGCCCGACACGGCGGCCAGCAGGCCCTGGGGGGCTCCCATCAGCCCCTGGGGCACCAGGCTGGGCGGCACGGGGCCGATCAGCGCCCTCCTGGCCGTGGGGCTCTGCCGGCTGCCCTCGCCCTCGTCGGAGGCACGTGCCAGGCCGTTGGGCAGGCGGGGGCTGAGGGCGTAGTCGCCGCCTCCTCCTCCACCGCTGCCTGAAAGGCGTCCCCGCTCATATCTCTCCAGGGCCCCTGCGGCGGCGCCTTCCTTGGCGTGTTTGGAGCCCTGTGGCCCCGGCGATCGCCCTTCTTGCAGGACGTGGTTCCTCTTGAGCTGCCTGGCCGTCTCGATGAGGAACTCGATGCGGTCGGCGCCTTCGAAATTGACGCATCCGCGGCACACGGCCTCGCTGAAGTCCCAGATCATGGCCCACGGCATCTTGGGCAGGTCGCACAAGTAGCACCATTGTCTGCGGGACGTCTGCACTGAAGACATCTTGGCGCCCCTCTGTCTGGCCGCCGCGCAGCAGACCCGGGATGGCGGCCTTGCCTGCCGGGGGTGGAAGTGGGGGGGGGGGAATCGAGGCTGGAGCTTTGGATCTGTTGGAGGGGGGATCGGGGCCTTGTTTGCACCTGTGCGCGCGAAGTGCAAAGGGGGAGGGCGAGGAGATCCAGTCCGGGAGGAAGAGGAGGAGGAGGGGAAGGCGAAGAGAGGGGTGGGAAAAAAAAAAAGCGGTGGTGGGGAGGGGGGAAATTCCCCTCTCTCGCCTGCCCTCTTACATGGAGAAACTTACATAACTCCGCTGCAAGGCCTGCTGGGAGATGTAGTCTTGCAGCCCAGCGGGAAGTTTGGGGGCGGAGTGGGGGGGCGCGCGCGCGCAAGGAAGGGATCTGCGGATGATCAAATGCATCAGCGGGGAAAGAGATCTTTGCAAGCGGTGCGCATCGTGGGGACTGTTTAGGGCTGGATCCCTTCCCCGCTGGCCTCCAGGCATTTTAAAACCTAACCATTTTAAACCATCTTAAAATCTCTAACCCGTTTTTCCTGGCGCGCGCTTCCGCGCGGTGGAATGCGATTGTAAGCGCAACAGCTGCGTTTTCTGCAACAAACTTGCCGCAGAAAACCATTGCTGTTATTCAAAGCCAAGACTGAAACAACCTAATATATTCATCTGGTTTATATTGCAATAAAAGATCTGTCACTTTGATAGGTCTTATTTGCAGCAAAACAAAAAACTTGTGCGACAGCTCCCTGGAACCTTGCCCCTTCTCTTACAGAACTCGAATGGGTTTTTAGATCGTTCCCATGGTATCCCAGGATCTGAAAGGATTCCAGTTGTGCCATTGACGGGATCGTTTAAGGTTAGGTTCGCAAGCTTTCACATCGCACAGAATTCTTCAGGGTGAATTCCAGGGACGTGCTTGCAATCCCCTCCAGCTATAAAGCTGCACAAATGCAACCAGCTAAGTACGTCCGATTCGTTCCTGGTAATATCTTTAATTGGGTTGCTCTATGGAGAAGCTACGGTCAGCAGCAAGAACAGACACACATCGATTGAGAAAGCAGCTTTGATTATCCTGCGTGTATAACTGGTCTGAAGTAGGAAGATTCAGGTGGCTTGGGATTCTTCTTCAGGTGGTAAAGCGACAATGATGGAGAGATACTCACCTGCCACTAGTCCACAGAGCCCCGCGGAGCTGGCACACCCACCCAGATGCCCATTGGGCAGATGTGGGGTTGGACTAGATGACCCTGGGGTCCCAACTGTACAATTTTATGTTGAGCTTAGGAGAACCTAAGCTCCTAATACCTGAAGGAGGGTCTCCACCTCCATCGTTCTGCCTGGACACTGAGGTCCAGCGCCGAGGGCCTTCTGGTGGTTCCCTCACTACGAGAAGCCAAGTTACAGGGAACCAGACAGAGGGCCTTCTCGGTAGTGGCGCCCGCCCAGTGGAACACCCTCCCATCAGATGTCAAAGAGAAAAATAACAACCAAACTTTTAGAAGACATCTAAAGGCAGCCCTGTTTAGGGAAGCTTTTAATGTTTAATAGGTTATTGTATTTTAGGGTTTTGTTGGAAGCCGCCCAGAGTGGCTGGGGGACCCAGCCAGATGGTGGGGTATAAATAATAAATGATGATTATTATAACCAAGGCGCCTGACTTTTACCTTCACCAGAGTTTGGGAAAAGCCCAATTAATTCCACCTGCCCTCAATTTGGATAATAAAATCCAGCCACATCCATGTGTCCCCCCTTCCCTGATTCTCTTCGTACACTGTTTCCCCCCCACCCCTCTTTCTTCCCAGGAAAGAGAGTAACGAGGCCCTAAAGGGTTAATTCAGCTTCTAGTGCCCAGGAAGTGGAAACTACGTTTCCCAAGATGCAGTGCGCCTCAGAAGCCCGGATGCTGTTGCGCATTTCCTGGTGGCCCCCCTCCCCGCTTTCCTGTTTCTTCTCTGCGAGTCGCCCTCCCTCCTTTTGCGGAGAAGATCATAGGTCCGCTGGAGGGGGAGGTGCAGAGGGGGGGTTCCCGACGGACGGAGCAGAAAAATAATAAAAATAAAAAAATAGAAAGTGCAAAGCTCGCAGCCCAGGGGCGTACGCGTGATGGGCACCTTGCAAAGCAACAGATGGGCGAGGGTGTGAAATTGGAAATAAGTGAAATCATTGCATTGCAGGGGGTTGGACTAGATGACCCTGGGGTCCCTTTCCAATTCCAACTCTACGATTCTGTATGATTGCTCCCCGCTAAAAACGAAGATCATGGCCACTGGTCCCATCACCTCCTGGCAAATAGAAGGGGAAGAAATGGAGGCAGTGAGAGATTTTACTTTCTTGGGCTCCATGATCACTGCAGATGGCGATAGCAGCCACGAAATTAAAAGACGCCTGCTTCTTGGGTGAAAAGCAATGACAAACCTAGACAGCATCTTAAAAAGCAGAGACATCACCTTGCCATCAAAGGTCCGTATAGTCAAAGCTATGGTTTTCCCAGTAGTGATGTATGGAAGTGAGAGCTGGACCATAAAGAAGGCTGATGGCCAAAGAATGGATGCTTTTGAATTCTGGTGCTGGAGGAGACTCTTGAGAGTCCCATGGACTGCAAGAAGATCAAACCTATCCATTCTTAGGGAAATCAGCCCTCAGTGCTCACTGGAAGGACAGATCCTGAAGCTGAGGCTCCATTACTTTGGCCACCTCATGAGAAGAGAAGACTCCCTCGAAAAGACCCTGATGCTGGGAAAGATGGAGGGCGCAAGGAGAAGGGGACGACAGAGGACGAGATGGTGGGACAGTGTTCTCGAAGCTACCAGCATGAGTCTGACCAAACTGCGGGAGGCAGTGGAAGACAGGAGTGCCTGGCGTGCTCTGGTCCAGGGAGTCACGAAGAGTCGGACACGACTAAACGACTAAACAACAAATGGACTGTAAAAGCTGCAAATACTTAATAAATTTTGCAGAACACAGGCAGGCTCTCCTCATATGTAAGCTTAGCAAACCCACACACAGTGAGGGTGGAAATTTTAAACGCCAAACGCCTTGGGGGAGAAATGGAAATGGATGCTTGTCTGTTCCAATCCAGACAGTGTTCCCCGTATGAAGAATTGCTCAAAAGTATATTTCAGGAAGCCGTGGGATCCTTTACACTTTAAAAAGGATGATGGGAAATTCAGTGCTGGATTAAACCCTCTGGAGGCACCTTTAAAGTAGAGAGTGGATTTCATGCTCTTTATTCAGCTCATAGTAGTGAGGAATGGAAGTTCCCACAGAATGTCTGCTTTATATACATTACCGTATTTTTCGTCCCATAGGACGCTCCGTCCCATAGGACGCACCTACTTTTTTGGGGGGAAATAAAATATAAAAAATTTCCCTTTATTTTCCCCCCCAAAACCAGGTCGGGGAACAGTGGGATGGCGGCGCTGCGCCTCTCCGCTGTCCCCCGAGCTTGTGGGGCTGGCCGATGTCTGCCCGGCGTGAGGGGCGCTCTGCTTCAGGGCGCCCCACGCGCCGGGCGGCAGGCTTGTGGACACCTGCGTGAAGCACGGGGCGTCCTCCGAAGGGCGCCCCGTGCTCCGCACTGCAGGCTGCTGCCCGCAAGCCTTGCGCGCCCGGGGGGGAGTTCCCCCCGGTGCGCAAGGCTTGCCAACACCTGCGTGAAGCACGGGGCGTCCTCCGAAGGGCACCCCTTGCTCCGCGCTGCAGGCTGCCGCCCGCAAGCCTTGTGCGCCCGGGGGAACTCCCCCCGGGTGCGCAAGGCTTGCGGGTAGCTTCGTGGAGCCTGGAGAGCGAGAGGTGTCGGTGCGCACCGACGCCTCTCGCTCTCCAGGCTTCAGCGAAAGCCTGCATTCGCCCCATAGGACGCACACACATTTCCCCTTCATTTCTGGAGGGGAAAAAGTGCGTCCTATAGGGCGAAAAATACGGTATTTACACAATGGGCCCCATGTGATTGGCTAATTCCGGGATTCTCCTGTAGGCCAATCAGGTTGCGGATTCACATCCACCTGGAGCTGAATTGGGTGGCTCCTGTGGACCAATCAGACTGCTGCATTCTGAATCCTATTGTTCTAGGACCAATCAGACTGCTGCATTCTGAATCCTATTGTTCTAGGACCAATCAGACTGCTGCATTTTGGATCCTATTCAACTCAGTACATAACACACCTATGTAGTCAAAATCTCCTGGAGGGGAGCCCTTGCAAATTATATCCTAATACAGTACTTGGTTTTTCATTTTCCTTCAGGATCAAATCAATATTATTTTGATCCGTTGTTGTGGGGCCCGTAAAAGTTATGGGGCTCCTAGGCTGGTGCCTATTCTGCCTATTTGGTAATCTGGCAGTGGGGAAACTGTCCAGTCGGAGGCTCAGGGTGGCAGAAATTTGGGTAGATCCTTTGGGACACCTTGCCACTGGATCAGGGAAGTGATGGCATAGGCCGAGGATGAGGAAGACCTTTCAGTCTTTCAGGGGCACATTCTTATCTGAGAGGCACACGGCAGCAGTAAGCAGGGCCAAAGACAAAAGTGCGCAGGGCAATAGATGTCAATTTTGCCTTTGCAGAGTAGGCTAGTTGCTACACACACACACACACACACACACACACACAAACACCCCTCTCTACCCTCCATCGCTGGTATAACAGGGACAAGATCTGTTGTCTGTGCTTAAGGAGAAAGAAAGAAAGAAAGAAAGAAAGAAAGAAAGAAAGAAAGAAAGAAAGAAAGAAAGAAAGAAAGAAAAAGAAACCTCGGGGATAATAATATAATAATTATAATAATTTATTATTTATACCCTGCCCATCTGGCTGGGTTTCCCCAGCCACTCTGGGTGGCTCCCAACAGAATATTAAAAGCACAATCAAACATTAAAAACTTCCCTAAAATATTTTAGCAGCTCAAGGGCCACATTCCCTTCTGTCAAGGTGTTATGTACTGAAGTTCTCACCCTGGGCCAGCAGGGAGATACTGTAGATAGTTTTCACTCAAGTCCACATATGCAAATAAGGAATTGAAAGTGATGTTCAGTGATTGGATAGTTACAGAAAGTTGTTACTGTTGCCTTGTAGTTGAGCTCTATATAAGCAGGCTGGCTGAACCCTTCAGTTCAGTTCTGTTCTGGCCTGTGAATAAACAAGAGCTGTTTGAAGAATCGCTGTGTCGTCTGATACGTTCACCCACAACTTGACACAACCTTTTGGGGGCCACATGACAATGGTGGGCGGAGCCAGAGTCAAAAGTGGGCGGGGCAATAAATGTGAATGCTGCCTTTGAACAGTAGGCTATTT